TGGGGGAACCAGGCYCAGGAAAGGCTCTGGATGAAAACCAACCCCACCCATGGGGAGCTGATCAAGGCTTTCAGGGGAACACAGAGGTAATGCTGTGATTGTAACTACCTGTGSTGTCCCTTCCCAGCCTTTGGCTTAGGGGACACAGCTGGGAGTCACCAGAGCCCTGCTGATTGTGTGTTCCAGGAGGAATGGCCAAAGGCAGGTAACTGCTTACACTGGAAGATGGGGATTATCTCCCTCTGCCCTGCTCAGGTGAGACCCCACCTGCAGAGCTGCCCCAGCCCCAGGGCCCAGCACAGGAAGGACCTGGAGCTGCTGGRGGAGTCCAGAGGAGGCCACGGAGCTGCTCCAGGGCTGGAGCCCCTCTGCTCTGGAGCCAGGCTGGGAGAGCTGGGGGTGCTCACCTGGAGAAGAGAAGGATCCAGGGAGAGCTCAGAGCCCCTTTTGGGGTCTAAAGGGGCTCCAGGAGAGCTGGAGAGGGACTGGGGACAAGGGATGGAGGCACAGGACACAGGGAATAGCTTCCCAGTGCCAGAGGGCAGGGATGGATGGGATATTGGGAAGGAATTGTTTCCTGGGAGGGTGGGGAGGCCCTGGCACAGGGTGCCCAGAGAAGCTGTGGCTGCCCCTGGATCCATGGCAGTGTCCAAGGCCAGGCTTGGAGCATTGGGGCTTGGAGCTTGGAGCAGCCTGGGACAGTGGGAGGTGTACCTGACAATGGCAGGGGGTGGCACTGGATGGGCTTTAGGTCTTTTGCATGCAAASCATTCTGTGATTCTATGCCTGGAGAGCTGCAGCAGAGAACAGCTGGAGATGTGGGAGCAGAGTTCAGCATGTTTTTGCAGGTATGTTTTTACATGGAAGCAGAGCTTCACTCTGGAATTATTGATTAATGGAGCTGCATCCTGTAATGCTGTTTTATTAATGCTGAAGAAGCATCTAGAAACACACAACCAGCTCGAAGCCCTGTAACAAAGATCCTGCAAGAGCTCATGAATGGTTCCTGCCCCAAAGGCCAGCGCTCCCCATGTGGGGAAAGCGTGGGGGGGAGGGAGTCCCCCCAAACCACTGAATATGCCCACACTGCAGGGTCTCCTGCGCCCCAGAGCTGCTCCTCGCCCACAGGAACATGCAGTTTCGTTTTTCTGRCTAGAGTGAACTTTTAAGAAAAAGTATTCAGGGACAAAAAGCAACTGTCCCCCTGATTCTCCTACGAGGCCCTGACCAGYGGCTGCGCCTCGAACACCTGCTCAGGCTGACATTCACGGATCTGAGGCTGGCAGAGGCTTGGGCACATTCTAGCCAACTTCAAATGCCAGTTTTGTTTTCTGGAGACACCATTTTCCTGTGTTTAAGACAGTCTTACCCTCTGTTGCTGAAAAAAGGTCTGTGTGTGATTCAAGGTCAATCTACTGCACAAAGGATTTGGTTTCCTGTTATCAAACCCTGACTTTCATCAGCGTAAACATCCCCTCGCTGCACGTCCTGCAGAGAAACACAAGTAGCATGAACAGAGTATAGAATGACATGCTTGGAAAAGAAACCAGTACCTCGAATTTGCCTCCCTCTGCTGAGTTTCTGCTCAAAGGTCTCCAGGGCAGGTCTGGGTGCTTTCCTCTCTAACAGCCACGAACCTTCCTGAAGAATCTTAAATCATAGAATGATGGGATGGTTTGGGAAAGGACCTTAAAACCCATTTCATTCCACACCTTCCACTATCCCAGGATGCTCCAAGCCCTGTCCACCCTGGCCTCTGATGCTTCCAGGGATGGGAGTGTTGAATCCATGGATTGCAGCCAGAGTATTTTCATTCCTATTTTTCCCTGTAAAAACCCAACTGCACAGCCAGGTATTCACACCCTCAGCCAATCGATTCTGCATTAGAACAGTAGGTCATTGATGCTCCGGGAAATGCCAACAGGCCCGTCTGGCACACGGATACCCGGGGCGGCGTTTCCTATGGAAAACTGTGAGCCTTCGGAATCTCAGCCTCCGCTTCAAGGAAAGATCTACATGCCAACCAGACTCAAATTAGCCTTGGAAACTGACTCTGGAAAATGTGCCAGCTCAGATGCAAATCCCTCTTACTTACCTCGTGATGACAACAAAAAGCCTGGTGAAACTTTGCTCATCCATTAACAGAAAAGGCCTTGCCTGGTGACACACGTGGGTGGGATTCCAGCAGGGTGACATTATGCTTTTGGCACAAGGATCTTGGCCCCCAAGAATGGCAGCCCTGTGGCACGACAAAAGCAGGCCACAGCCACATACTTTACCTGCTGACTCAAGAGGAAGAATGCAGAACCTATAAAAATTAAACTTCCAGCCAAAATCCCGAGATGGTAATCTCCCAGAACAGCCCCTGGGGTGAAAGATTGATGATTAGAATTACGCTCAGGAAAACACTGGCTGATTTCTAAACACCTTCAGAGCAAAGCATAGCCAAGGCGTTCCACCGGGGTCACTTCCTAAATCCACTGGAGGGAAAACAGGAGCAGTCAGCTCATTGGGACAGTGATTTTTGTTTCACCACCATGGATAGAGGCCCCTCCATGCTCCATTAAAATAAATGGCAGAACTGTCCTGTTTTTAGCAYGAGCTCATCTTCGTTTCTCCTGCTCCTGTGTCAGGTTTCGTTTCTCCTCTCTGCCGTCCTTCCAAAACCGAAACAGCAGCAGCAGTGATCAAATCAGATGACTTCCTAGATTGCATGTGGCTGTGGAAATCCCAAAAGAATCCTCTCTTTTCAGGTGAAAGACAAATGTTGCCACCTGTCCACCCGATTCCCGCACAGCACCAGGAACTGGGGTTATTTTCTTATCAAGGCCGGTATATTCAAGGATGTGGTTGAGACGTTTTCCGTTTGACTTCAGTTTGACTTTCAGTTTGAAACAGACCGCTCTTCTTGTTAAACGCCATCCCAGAAAGAAGGAAGGATTTCCAGAAGCCCCACTGACCCGGCAGTGGCTCGGCAGGTTGAGGATATCCACATCACAGCGATTAAAGAGCCTGCGGTCACGATAAACGAGAACAGGTTCCCCTTCTTCGATGATTTTTTGAAAAACCCTGGGGGARCATTCACTTTCCCCTTACAGAACCTTCCCAATATTCTGGGGTTTTTTTAAAGCAGCTTTTAATCTTAATTGCTGTTGGGATCTTTGGGTGATCAAAGGGAGGATGGCTGTGATTCTCTGTATTACTCACTACTGCATTAGTACTGGGATCACATATTCATTTATTTTGGTTAAGGAGGTAACAGTCTCCTTTCACTGCACGCACACAATTACTGTAAGCATGCAGGGGACTTGCCAAATGATGCATGAGGGAAGCAGGAGAATCTTTGAAGGAAACTGTTCAAACGTAATTTAGTTCACTAATTGGCAAGGGACCGTTACTAACRAATCGCTTCTGTTTTATGTCAGTAGTGAATCAGGTTGATGATGTGTAACATACATTAAGTCAGTTAATGAGTATTAACTAGAAATGCGACTGAAACACAAGAAAAATGTTTTTTTCACCTTTAACTAGCCAAGCAGAATCACCAATAAATAAAAGGATATGTGTAAGTGGCTTAGATGATTCCAATCTGCAGTGGAAAGACTTTTCTTAGAATCTGGTAACCACAAGTTTGTGGAAAGAAAAATCAGACAGTTCATCACCACTTGCTTTATTTCTAACCAAGCCTGAAATGAAAATGACTAAAAGTCATTACCGTAAAATAGCTGATTAGAACCCAATGTGAACTGAGACAGTGAGTCCTGGCCATGGCCACATCGTGTGGCCAGCGACGGCATGTGTTGGCTTGGTGGTGGCTGTGTGTGCACTGTCACTGYGGGACAGGACACTTGCTGCACTTTCACTGGGGGACAGGACACCTGGAATCCCCCAGTGGGCACCAGGCAGGCTGCTGTGCCCCTAAACCTTGGGAATCACATGGACTGGAGGGAGAGATTATCTTGCTGGAGCAGCCATAATCATAGGCATGCTTCACTCTCACCTCTATGCATGACCCAGCAACATGACACGGCTTTGGGTGAAGTCAGGGCTGAAGGAATGTGGCCCTCAGAGCCCACAGTGCTGGGGCAGAGCCATGAGGTSACAGCAGGGCCACGTGCAGAACGTGGCTCACTCGTGGATGTGCAGCCCTGAGAGCAAACCTTGTTACAAAACCCAGGCAGAARGAAAGTTTCTGGCTCACTCTGGCATGTGAACAAACTGGCTTATTAGGCTACAGGTGCAAAAATGAGAMCACGGGAGTCAAAGTGAGGATAAAAGGGAGAATTCCTGTGTTCTGCAGGTTTTGTGAAAGAGGTACCAGGCCATGGAACCTGCCAGACACGGTGGGGGGATCAGGGACAGGCAGGGGTCTGTCTGCCATGGGCCAAGGGGATACAGCTGTGGGACTGGCATCAGGATCRCAAATCCATCACTTGGTTACCTGGAGAAGGAGGGCAGCAGAACATCTCAGGGATCTCAGTTTGGGAGTTATCTCTGCTCAGTCAGGCAGCTCYAAGCCTGGCTTTCAACCCAGGCTTTTCAACTTTCTGACCAACCCGAGTRAAAGCAGAAGGGGGACTCATCAATCCCGTCTCCTGGCAGCTTCAGGCAAGGCAAGATCACTGTTCCAGCAGTAAGGAGGGGTTTGATGTCTGCAGCCAACCTTGCACTGTGCCAACAGCCCAGAAACCATGGTCAGACACTTGCCATGTGCTGCTCTCCTTACCTGTATCTGCAGCCACCACTGATYCTTCTCACAGCTGGTTCTAAACAGGGTGTGCTGCAACACAATTTACATCACACAACTGCTGAGCACCTCGGTGCACACTGGGGCGCTGGTTTAGAAACAAGCTGATAATACCRTCATGGTAACACTACTTGCAGAGTCAGAAAAAAAAACCTTAAACATCCAGCACCAGCAGAAAATGTGTACAGATTAGTTTATCTCTGTACTCAATATAGATAAGACCCCTTCTTTGAAAAAAAAATCTAAGCTCCGGAAACAGCAGAAAGGATGAAGTTAAGCACAATGTGGTGGATCACGAGACATGCTGCCTGCTGGCATTGATACCTCAGAGTTCATCTGGAAATAGTGCCCTTAAATAGGGGTGACAGAGTGGCACAGGACAGYCCAGACCCAGAGGAGGGGATTTAGCCAGTGAGGGGCAGGGGGGTGAGAGGAAGAGGCAGAAAGAAGCACACTGACACCAGTTACATGGAATTATAAATCCTCAGCTTTAGAACATCAAACAAGTTCAGTTGGTTGACAATGCCACAACAATTCTGCAGTCTCTTGGCAACCCAGAATATTCACAAGACAAATAAACATGCAGAAATACATGTGGGATGGGGAAGRGTTAAACACTGGGAGAGAGCAAAGGTCTGTACCAGTCAGATGACAGTGCAAACTCACACCTTCCAAAATGTATTGTGTGTCAGAATGAACATTATTTCCTGCAGTTCAGAAGCAGCTTCTCTGGTTCACTGACCTTCCTTTTCTTCTCGGGTCCTATTACCTCTTCCTGGCTAAAGGCAAGGTTCAGGAGGTTTATCTGTAAGAACCATCAGAAACAGAGATCATTCTCACAGGACAGGCTCCTGCAACACAAGTCAGAAAGTGCAGCTTCCAAAAACTGCCATGTGCCTGGAACCTCTTGGCTTTGCTCAGTGTGATCCTGTTCTCCAGAAAAGCAATTAGGCAGGGAATCAAAATGGGAGTACTGGATGGAGCTGGGAATGTAAGAATTGTGCAAGCAACAGGTTCAGCTTCAGGGACATAGAATGGGTTTGGTGGCACAGAAAACAGGACCCATCTCCCCATCACTGACAGAAAACAGCTGGAGCAAGGAGATCTTTAAGGAATATAATAGCTGATATGACATTGGTTTTCCCACCAACCTCAGATAATCATAACATATGGAAAAGAAGGGGAAACTTGGGTGAAATTAGTGGTCAGAGCCTTTCAGAAGATACACAGTCCCTCTGTTTTGTGCATCAGGGAATTCAGTGTGAGCTGGTCAATCTCAGGCTTCAAAACTACCTGTGAGCCTGTGAAAAATAAGTTTTTCCAAAAGGCTTAAATTCCTTCTAGAAAGACACAAATCTCCACCAGAAATACTCCAAGCCTGCAAAACAAGAGGTTAAAAAACCCAGATAAATAGATGTGAGAATACAAATGAGTCAATGGAACAGACACTTCAGACAGACCACAGGGAGATGGACAGCCAGGACGACAGCTGAACTGTTGGCCATGCCAGGTGACAAACTCACTTATCCTCCTTATCATGTCATATATTTGCATTTCTACAATAATAACCTGGAGTTGCTGAGAGCAACATGTGTTGTCGCCCACCCAGAAGGGACGAAGCATGGTCTGGCAATGTGACCTCTCTCGCTGGAGCTGAGCTGAGGGGACACATCATAGCACAGAGCTTCTTCTCCAAAACAAAGTTCACTTGGATGACGACGAGGTGAGTGGAGAGGGAAAGGAGTGCTAACAGAATTCCCGCTCCCAAACAGGAGTACCTCCCTCTAGTGTCACTGCAAGGCACGAGGAGCCCCGGAACTGCAGAGGGGGAAGCACAAGGAGTTAATAAAGAGCCCTTCCAGAACACATCCTGGGGATGAGCACAAGGTCTCCAGATTACGAGATGTGGTCATTATAGAATTCCCCGCTCACGTCACCGAGGCTTGCTTTCCATCTGACCTTGGAATGAGGCTTCAGMAATCTCTGCATAGCAATGGGCTTTCTAATGTGTGAAATAACTCTGATTACGGATTAACAGCAAAATACTTTGAAACAACCTCACTTCGCCTCTCTATCGTGTTTCAAATTGTTTTTCTTCCCTCCTCTTCATTATGAGCAACACAATGTTGCTTAATGCAAAAGTACAAGCTCCTTTCCCTGAAAACAGAGAAAACAGGAATGTGCCAAAGTGGGCCGGGCAGGTTCTTCTTCCTCCAGCAGAGTCAGGCTGACAGAGCTTTCCAAGGCTGCTCAAGGCATGTTTGCTTGAGGACAGAGCCATGAGTGGCTCTGTGTTACAGCTCCTCACCTGATATCCAGCTGCTCCAACTGGCATTTTTGGCAGCTGTTTACTTTCCTCTCCCTGGCACCATTTTAACCTGTCTGCTTAGCTTTTTTAATTTTTTTTTTTTTTTTTTTTTAAGTAAAGGGCCCAGATGAAGAAACACTGCATCCGAAATCTCTGCAGTGCTAACACACTGCAGGGTTTGTACCCTGTCCTGCTAGCCACACAACAAAGCAGGGTCTCAAGTCTCAGTCTCCCAGCCCTATCACCTGGATAAGGGAGCTCTCCTGTTTTAGCCTAAACCTAGCTAGAGCTGGTGCTTTAATTTCCTATATTGAGCAATGGTTCTTGCACAGCCCAGACTGCTATTCAGCAAAGATTTTACCCCTTTACTACTGCTCCAGAATTTCCTGCATGGGTGGGATACTTGYGAGGTGGAGAAATAGCCACAATGAGCAGCTGCTTGCACTCCAGCTTTCTCCAGTTTTCTTGCCCTTTACCACAGGCAGCACAAGCACCTCGCAGGAACCAGAGATGAGGACTGAAAGCATCCATGGAAGCCATGGAGGGCTCTAGACAAGCACTATTCACCCGCCCAGTGAATCAGACGTCAACAGTGAAAGGTATTTCACGGAACCAACGTGTCCTGGCCTGTCCCTGCCCAAGTTCACGTAGGAATTTGGAGCCAGGAACAGACCCCAAGCCCAACTTCAGCTCCCATCCTTAACCAAACACTCCAATGTCTTCCCCAGAAAAGCTGCTCTGAAGGGGATTAAGTCAGCTTCGACGTATGCTTATTTGACTAGCAGCAGAAAGTAAACCTCTTCAATGGTGTGGTGAGAAGCAGGAAATCCCTCCCATTGATTAAACATACAATCAAAGCCTCCCYGAGTTCATTAATTCTGATTTTTCCCATGTACTGGGATGCTTCACTTGAACAGCTGATGTCAGAGCTTGGGCTGTGAGAATGCTGCTTTTCCTCTTACACAAGCTCAACCCCACGGATGAGCCAGGTGCTGTATAAGCAGGTAGCACACAGGGCWGCTCGTTGCACACTCACCCCTCAAAGGGACAAGTGGGACGAGCCCAGAGCAAGCAGCAAAGGCAGCAGCAGCTCTGTGACCTCCTGACTCTGAGTCCAARGCAGAATTCAGGGTGTGGGTCATACCATGAACACACAGTGAGTTTGAATCTTSTGCTTTATTACATGTAAAAAAGTAATATTTTGCTGCAGGAGTTCTCCTTTAGAACTAACTTGTGAATCATACAAGTGTTACTAATTTCTGGCATAAAACTCACAGGACAGCTGCAAGTTGTCTGGAGAAGATATCAGGCTAAAAATAGATTAGACTTAGATTAAAGCCTTCCCAAGGCAGTTTGGTGGATGAAGCAGAGTGAGCAGACCACTGCTATTCTTAGATAGACACAATCAGGACCCAGTTTTGTGCTCTGCAATTTGCAATCCCCAGTGTCCCCAAGTATTCTGGCMAAAAATTCCCAGCATAAATCGAAGAAAATTTACAGCTCTCCTGACATGTGTTTTGCTTCCCAAGGCATCCTATGCAGAGCTGCTAAAATTGCACAAGAGCATTCGGCTGTGTCCCTCTTTGTCCCTGAGCTGCCCCATGCTGAGGTTTGGCACTTGGCAAATTTTATGCCCTCAGAAGAGTTCCCTTTGTCCGGCACATGGAGGGTTTTGTTTGGTACCTTGTAACTATCCTGACAAACTCACAAGCACATGAATGCCAAAAGAAGTGCAGTTCCATCGAGCAAGCTGGAAGAATAAGGACTGAGATCCAAGACTGAGCTGCTGAAAGAAGGCAGAGTGACCCTCAGGTGTCAGGGCAACACAGTTTGTGCAGGGGACTTTCATCATGAGGGACATTAATCAGAGTGACCTGAGGCATCCTGTGATTTCAGCAGCAGCTACCACTGACTCAGCAGCACAGCAAACTCTAGGCACTTCCAAAAATCAAGCCAGTGACTCTTTAAATTGGTCCCCTAAGACCTAATTCCCGCCTGCTCACTGACAGCTGGCTGCTCCRTGCTCCCAAGCACGGCAAAAAGCCAGGGTCACCGGACACATCATGGTGTCAGTGAAAGGATGAGAGATGGACAGAAACTGAAATCACAGAATCACAGATTCCCAGAACCATTTGGAATGAAAGGGATCTTAAAGCCCATCTCATTCTAYTCCCCTGCCATGGGCAGGGACACCTTCCACTGTCCCAAGGTGCTCCAAGCCCCATCCAACCTGGCCTTGGACAGTTTCAGGGAAATATAAGAAATTCCATTTAACATAAGAACCAACTTTACATGTTTTCACTGTGAGGGCAACCAACTAGTGGTGAAAGTCATCCAGGGAGGTTGTGGAGCCTCCTTCCTTGGAAATATTCACCACCTGAGGAGCCAAGGCCCTGAGGAACCTTCTCCCTTCCCCTGTGCTCTGAGCAGGTCTGCTGGCCCTGCTGATCCCCAGCTGGCCCTGCTGATCCCTGTGCGGGGGTGGCTCCGTGGTTAAACCCAGCACTGGACTCCCATCAGTTTCCAGTGCTGTGGTTGCACTGCCATCACAGAATCCATCCTGATTTCCATCTGTGCCCATGCAGGGGGATCATGCCGGTTAACAGGAAAGTCAGCTTACACAGGTGGAAGGATGAAAAACCCTCAGTGTGGTGCTACTGTGGAAAGTTGCCAGATTTTTGTGCCTAGGAAGCCATATCAACACATCGCTGACTACACTAGTCCTCTTCTTCAGTTCCTGATAAAACCTTGTCATTCAGTGCCACTCTTTTGTCTCATGTCCTGCCCTGCACCTCATATGTTTTGTAGCTTTAAAAGGACTAATGATCAGATCTTTCCAGAGTATTAAAAAAAAAAAAAAAAAAGAAGAAAGCTTCAAAAAAAATGCCTGTTAGAAGACAAAATTATCAAAAGCTCTCCTGCTTTCAGGGCGCTCAATCACACTGTCTACTTCCAAGATGGACATCCTGATTGTTGGATCACAGTTGCATCCCAGAATCCTTCCYCGGTGTGATTCCAGCTTTGGAACTGAGGGGAAAAAGGCAATAGACACTCCTGCCTACTAGGCTGCTACCCAGCAGCCCCTCATGGGATAATAGATGTGTCCAACCATAATTTATGCGGATTTCTCCAGAGGGTCTGGCTGCTAGAATGCACGGCATGAACACGCGGAATAGCAGCCAGCACGGAAGCGCCACGTCTTCCCGCAGATGTCCCTGGGGGAGCTGCCAGGGAATCTGAGGGTGCAAGGGTTAAATCTCCCTGGATCTGTGGGGTGACAGGCCTCACCTCTACATGCAGAGATCACTAGGAAACTGTTTCCTGCATGCTAGACAGGGATAACTCATGGAAGGGATGAATGGCCCCAAGATACAGCTAAGGATCTGATGTGAACTGAGAGAAGCCAGGAATTTCCTGACCTCCCTGTCTCACTCCTCCCAGCATGGCCTGAGCTCACAGGAAGGAGAGGCAAGATCATCTCTGAATCTTTCTCTCTTCATTGCTTGGGTCTGTGTAGCTTCAGCTGGTTTGGAGGAGAAAATGTTCTGGGAACTTCTCATCAGATACAGCTCTCTTGATAGACAGACAGAGATAAACCCTGCTGTTTTTTTTCTCCTCTGCCAAAGTGTAAGATAATGACATTGCCACAGAAAAATGCTCTCCTATTGCTCTGCACATGGCAGGTTTCATCCTTCAACTACCTTCTGTCATGGCACTTCTGAACGTGGTTTGCCTGGGAAAAATCAGACAACAAAGGTCTTGATCCCTGAGCTGTTGTTGTACAGTTGAACTCACTTGTGCTGACCTTCACTGCCAGAAGGGAGCTGACTACAACACTGCACCTCAGCAGGGCACAGGAACCAGGGAATGGATTGGGATGGAAGGGACATTAAAACTCTTCCAGTGCCACCCAGCCATGGGCAGGGACACCTCCCACTGTCCCAGGCTGCTCCCAGCCCCAATGTCCAGCCTGGCCTTGGGCACTGCCAGGGATCCAGGGGCAGCCACAGCTTCTCTGGGCACCCTGTGCCAGGGCCTCCCCACCCTCCCAGGGAACAATTCCTTCCCAATATCCCATCCATCCCTGCCCTCTGGCACTGGGAAGCCATTCCCTGTGTCCTGTCCCTCCATCCCTTGTCCCCAGTCCCTCTCCAGCTCTCCTGGAGCCCCTTTAGGCCCTGCAAGGGGCTCTGAGGTCTCCATCAGGGTAACCATGACCCTGGGCACCAACAGGACACTGATCCCCGACAAACAACATGGGTATTACTGCATCATCCAAGAAAGTCTGTGTCCACACTGGCTTCCATCACTGCCACACAAAGAGCAYATGGCCAGGTAGCCAAGTCTCCTGCACAAGGAACAGCAGCTGGAGGCCAGACAGACTGTCCTCTGAGGCCTGAAGYAGCCCTGATTCACAGCACTTAGGTATGAACCTCTCCCCAGACATCTCAGGCGCAGACAGCTCCCGTCAGGAGAGCTGATCCACATGGCAGGAGCACAAATCCCAGAGCACAATGCCTGAGCCATCACTGATCCCAACTGGGATATCCAAACAATACCAAGTGTCAACACACTCCCTCATGTCCCACAGCAGSCTACAAGCACAGCCAGCCCAGCAGCAGGAGCAGTGTCTGACAGCARCTGATGAAGGCAGAAACTTGGGAGGCAGAGCTGCCTGGTGCTGTGCTGATAGAGCCCCACCATTCCCAGCTCAGCATGATCCAGGGTTGCCTCACTGTGCACAGCGACTGCRCTCCAAGGACCACCCCAGAACTTCAGCCCACAGCTTCCTGATGGGAGATAAAAGCCTGCAGAGGCGTTCACATGGTCAGTTTTTACTCATCTTCTAGTCCTGTTTCATTCCAAACTCATTCCACTGCAGCATGTTTGCTTACATGAAGGCAAAGCTGACCAAAATCCATTTTCARGACAAGGACATTAAAGGATGTTCTTTATAAGAAGGTAGAGGAGTCTGCTGAAGAACTCAAAAAATWATCCCAAGTTCAATGCAGGGCCTCACTCTCACCAGCACATTTCTATAACTAAACAATGGGCAGCAATTCCCTATTTCCTCCAACTCTTCCCAGTTCCTAGGATGCCAGTGGAGAGCAGGAAGATGCACAAAGACAGCACAGGAGGACAAACCTTGGCTGATGCAATCAGAAGGCTCCTGAAGCCAGCAGAGGTGGGCTAATTGACATGCTGGTGTCTAACTCTGGATGATYAAGTGCAGAGATGCTCTGCTGGGAAAGGGCAATCTCTCATTCGATCCCGAGGATCATCAATCATGAGATGGCAGATAAGAAGCCAGGGGAGTACATGGAAATTTTTCCCCAATGTGCAAAGCCCTCTGTCAGAGACTCTCTGTGGCCACTCCTAAAGGCYAGTTCCAGCTCTCACTGGGCAGGAAGAGCTGCTTCTCTTTTGGCAGATCCACATCCTTCATCTCTCCCATGCCGATTAGACAAAAATAAGCCTTTAATACTTTCATTCCTGGTTTTCCTGAAGAGAGCTCTAGGTCAGGAAGATAATGACCAATAAACTCAATTCCAACAGTTTTTATTTTTGGTAACCAAGCGCTCAGAAGGATTCACTCCAGATGAAGAGCAGAAATGTGCTCACCCACATTTCCAAAAGCAACTTCTGACTGTGGGTAACGGTTTCGAACTCAGAACTCCTTGAATACCAAATCCTTGTGCAGACAGCAATTTTCTGGGACACTCCAAACTGTTCTGGTTAGTTCAGAAAATCTTGGCATTCCCACCTCACCCCAACAGCTGGAAAACACTTTTAATAGTGTCTGGATTAACAAAGTGTTCACATTCACACCCCAACAGGTCCTGGTCTTCCCTAGCTCACCTACACCTGACCCTGTCAGACAACACCTAACTCAGACTTCCCATCCACCCCAGCTTCTCCTCATTTTTTTAAGACAAACTTCACTCACCAGCTTGGCTTCCCAATTTACATGGAATATACAATGATCATTTGTTTTAACCACTTCCTTCAGAAAGGAAGGGAAAGTCCCTCTCATATGGAAAAGAGTGTCAAATTTTTATTAGTGCAGGCTTTGTAGTGATGATTCTAACTACTGGCTTGACTGTTTTTCCCTAAACTGAGTGAAATATTAGCCAGCTTCTAAGCTATGAGGTTTTAAAAATAGTATCAAATAATACATTAAGAAAGCCCTCTGCCATGCAGAATCTCCCAGGGCTTGGGATTTTTTTTTTTTGAGTCTTTGGAAGCATATAATGGATAAAGTGATTCTTCCATTTTTCAGCAACTAATGCTGTTTCCACCACCTTCAGACACTCTCACTCCTGCTACCGAATTCTAATGAAATGCACATGCTGAGAGAGGTGTCTGGTGCTCTGCTCGCCATCGTGACAGCCCCAAAAGAAGGTCAGAGCATGAATCAGTGGGGCAACCATGAGTCGCAAACAAAAAAGGCTCCTGTTTTCACAGACGACAGAACAAACAATGATCAGAAGGAAACCGGAGGATGTGACACGGAAAAAAAAATGTGGTTAAAGTTTGAAAAATACCAGCCTAGGCACAGAAGTTCATTTCTAAGATCCAGAGTCAAGGCAAATACCTCGCAGATGCCTTTAGAATGACAGCGTAAGCTGCAGTCTGCAGTTGCTGTCTGGGTTAGACACCCCGGGATTCTTTTCAACAGAGGCGGGGAAAATTTTAGTAGCGATTTCCTACTCTCGTTAACTTATCCTGCAAAGATGCAGTTTGTGACCATTCATGCTCACATGATTCTCAGCTAATTTGAATGGGAGCAGGATCAAGTGGCAAGTCTGGTGGCACTCAGAGATTTGCCCTGTCACTGAAAAAACCTCTGCACATGCCCATGAGTTTGGGCTCTGATGGTGACTCAGGGTTTAACTGGGCAGCCTTCAGGGAGGGATTAACTTCACTTATCTAAAATGGCATATCTGGCCTGTCCTAATTCTTGGGCTGCCCCAGTAACCATCGAAAAAGAGATCAGTACCTCCAGGGGATAATTATTCCTGCCCCAGAGGGGATCGCCAAAAAGGGATAGGATTCATTAAGTACCTGTGACTCACATGTAAAGAAAGTCTGGAAGCAAGAGGGGAGAAGGGAAGACCATATTAGGAAAAAAGCACACCCTTCAAACTTAAAATAGGGTGGTGATTTCAGATCCTTAATCCAAAACCATGCACAGGTAATGCTGCCTGGGCTGGGACAGAGATAGGCTTAGTCTGGGTGTGTTACTCACAGGTTCCAACTCCAGGGAATGGAATTAAATTCTGATACTGGATGGGGGAAATAAACTGATTATGGAAAGCTTCTCCCTAAATGCTTCCAGTTCATGCTTACATCCTCTGCTTCTCTGTAGCCTCTATGTATTGTGATCCTGCACAATAAATCCAGTAATGTTAGTGAATTTTATGTCACCTTTGATGATGCAATGATCCATGGCAGTGAATTCCACCATGCCTGGTGTATCTTAGAACCACTGAAGTTTCCTCACCTGCTGAGATGCCCTTGAGCAAAGCATCCTGTCTGTCTCCTTTATTCCCATCTTTTTTCTACCTGCAACCCAAGCAGCAAAGTAAAATTAGCTTCAAAGTGCTTATTTGGAAAAAAATAATCCAGAAGCCTGACTAAACCTCTGAGGCAACATCCCATAAAATTGTGTGACTTTTGGTCTCAGGCACTGCCACCACTGGCAGCTTTATTCTTAGAAAGAGAAATTTCAGAATAAAGTGTCATCTGAATATCAGCTCTATCAATTATACTTAAACTCCATTTTAACCTGGATCTAAGAAAACAAAGCTTATGTCTGCACATGCTCTAAGTGTGAGGGGTGAAGGAAAGGAGGGGAGATCTCTCCTGGTTAATATTTATTAACCTTTCAGACAGTTTCAATAAAATTTGAGGGGGTGTCCAAAGTGCCCCAGTGAGATCAGGCAACTGTTTAGAGGAGGAGGATTCTGTTAAATCCCCAGAGAAACAACAGTGGCGGGATGAGCTCACTCCTTATTAGTCATCRGGGAATCCGAAGAAGGAATACCTGTAAAGGTGATTTCACAGGCAGGGAAGCTGCTTTATCCCACTGCCTGGCAATCCCAGGAATGCTATTTACCATTTTGTCACTAGATGGTATTGTTCCACAGGCTATATCCCAGAGCCTCAAAGGTCAAACACAGCATAGTATAGCAGAGGCTGGGCTGATTAAAGGGAAAGAAAAGGCTTTTTTCTCATGTATTTTCATGTATGTTTTCCCATATGGACATTATTAGCAAAAGTCAAACTGTAACAGCTGAAGGAAAAGAGTTTTGTTGAACATGGAGATAATGTAACTCAGTTTTGATGATCTCTGCATTTTCCCCTTATCTCAAAAAAAAAAAATAAAACCCTGCTGAGATAAAGCGGTGCAAAGATACTGATACAAAATTAAATGTTTCTGTTAACAAACCAAGCATAATCAACCAGCCCTTTGTTACAGTTCAGTCTGATCTGACACAAAATTCAAACAGCCTGACAAACTCTGCTGATTTAAAACCTAAATATTATGGAATCWTAGAATCATGGAATGGGTTGAGATGGGAAGGGACCTTAAAATTCATCCAGTTCCACCCATGGCAGGGACACCTYCCACTGTCCCRGGCTGCTCCCAGCCCCARTGTCCAGCCTGGCCTTGGACACTGCCAGGGATCCAGGGGCAGCCACAGCYTCTCTGGGCACCCTGTGCCAGGGCCTCCCCACCCTCCCAGGGAACAATTCCTTCCTAAACCCTCAACTAAACCTACTGTTATTAACAGCACTGAGAGACCTTATCCAGGACATTGTCTGGAATACATTATGCTGGGATACAACCAGGAGCAGAAGCTCCTCCAGTTTTGAAACTGGGCATTTACCTGTACCTTCAAGGCAAGAAGATGTTTCTGTTTTCCTGCCTGGATGGGTGTCACTTTTGTCCCCTTCATGTTCACACAAATCAGCTTTGACAGGGGGAGGGTGATTCTGTAAAGCAAAGATGTTTTGTCTTAATAGCACAACCTAAAAAATACACCCAGGTGGTAAATCCATGAAGAAAATGTTTCTTTTAAGGAGCTTTTTGCTAGATAAATTCTGTTCTTCCAGTGAGAAGCAAATAGAGCTATCTCTGTACCTTTGGGCTCTCCTCCTCTTCCTCTTCCTCGCAGTCCAACCCTTGGTGGGAGATCTCAGTAGGGCCATTCTTCTGGATCAGGTTGCTGTCAGCCTTCCTCATCCTCTTCTTGTCAGTTGTCACTTTGACTTTCATGAGGTGGAAGTCGGTGGAGACTGACCCCACCCTCAGGTTGACAGGATCCCCACCAAACAAGAGGTCACCAGAGCCAGTATCTTCCTTAAAGCCGGGGGGCTGGTAATCCTCGGGAGTGACTGCACAGGGAGAGGGAACCCACTTAGGCCAGGGAAACTGAGTTCCATCTCTCCTTAATCTGATTTAGAAAGAACAAGTGTGAACCAGCTTTGAGTAACACTGACTGCTAAAAATATTCTGGGTGTTTTTGTTTTGTTTCTTTTTCAGGAGGAAGGGAGAGAATGCAAAGGGAAAATTGAGTTGAGCAAATGTTATCAGGGAGCTCAAAGAAAGAGTGACTTTAGGATGCTGAGATACCATTGAAGTGCTTCATATCCAGAGCAAAACCTGATATTGTCTGTTCCATAAAAAAAAAAAACCTCAAAAAAAACCCACCTTAGGGAAGAAAGATACCTCCCTTGTACACCACATGGCTGTACTTCTTATAATGATTTCAAACTTTTCCTAAAAGCATCTGCCATCCCTGTGCAGCAGAAAGATTTACTGTGTTTCACCACTTCTCACTATCAGCCACAGCTTCTCCCATCTCACCTTTTCTACGTTTTGATTCACAGGTCTCACGCTGATTTCAGAGACTGATGGAAAGGGAATGTTCCCCTAAGGACCACACTGCTCTCCACCTACCATCGTTGTAGTAGAGGAGTTTCATGGTCAGGGTGATGTCATTGGGCAGTGGCCTGAGGTTCTGCATGAGCAGGTAGAGTGTCCGAAGCAGGCGCCTGCTGGCTTGTTTGACATCCTTGCTGCACAGCCCCGTCACAAACTCCGTGTGGTTGCTACAGTTGRAAGAATAACGGATTTGTTATCCTCAGTCATGAATATTCACGATCCAATTACACACACAGAGCAACCACTGACTTGTCTGAAGCCACCAGTGACAAAAGCTACAATGTCTTTATGTGATTTCCAGATAAACAGGGAAGTGGAACAGGCTCCAGGGATGGGGTGGCATCCCCAGAACACTCTAAACTCAGAGGCTTGGCATTTACATTTGAACAGACTCGGGAGCTGGGGCAACCATTATACAAATGTCATGACTCACTTGTTTGACCATGATTAAATTGGATCAAAGGGCCATAAAACAAGTGCCTTTCACCTAAGCAATTTYGGGAATGAGGGGAATGAGTTGAGGGTCCCATCTAAAGCCGACTCATCACAGGGGYTATTTTCAAATCCATTCTACAGTTTTTGATGAGAATTGCATGTCCTCACTCAATTCCATGTAAGAAAAAGCAGCTCAGAGGCACATTTTTCAGCAGTGACGAAGGGACATTCCTCTCACCTCCTTCAGCCATCCAAATGTCAGCTGGCTGCTCCAAGCCAGCAGTGCAGACTGARACCCATGGGTGACATGAGTGGGATGAATTGCACTCCAGAGGAGTTTGTTTCTCTTTGATTCAAACAGAGGTAGATGAGATGAGCAACTCCGAGCAGCCAGCTAACTTCAAACAGAGCTGATGAATCACTGCATGACTAAGGGACCTGACCTTCCCTAACTCTCAATGAGAAGGGGTCACAAAGATGTGTAGCTCCTTCATTACGTCTTTGGAAGACCCCTGACACTACACGTAGGCTGGAGGGTGTCCAACACAATCACCCCAAATTGTTTCAAAAGCAGTAGGAAGTAACCCAAGAGTAATCCYAGGGATGAACCTGACTGAGTGAACCACAAAAAGGAACAAATTAAGACCAATTACCCCTTCCTGTTGAGCCTTCTTTGCATCATGAAAATGGGGTGGCTGTAGAACAGCTTGARTTCCCAAAGTATGGAATCACASAATCATTTAGGCTGGGRAAAAAACCCTCTAATATCATGAGGTTCAAACTGCGGTATTAGGTGTGCAGTGTGGTCTCAGATTAAGTCCTGTACTTTCAGAAATGCACAGTGAGAGGAAAATGCTGGCAGTGCCTAAGGTGTAATATCCATCACCTTTACAAACYATGGGATTAGCAGATTAGAAATGGCAAAAGGAAAGTTCATGAGAAAAAAAGAAACGAGATGTCCACAGGAATTAGCAGGTCAAGCACTGCTCCARCATGGGAATAACACTGTGAATTTGTTGGAGTGAGTCAAAAAGCAGAAGATAAGGAACTGAACCTCGGAAAGAGTGGGATACATGGTAAGGAATTCCTCCAAAATGCATCTAAAATAAGGCAAAGACCATTTAGGAGACATTTTCTCCTTATCCCTTGGATACAATAATGCAGCCCCATAAAACATCTCTCCCAGAGTGATTAACTCTGAGTTTGCACAGGACAACTGCTGCAGGTGTAAAATGCAGCATTATCAGCTGAAGGAGCTGATAGCAAAGATGACACAATTCCCTGCTCCATGCCAGAATGTCGGATTATTAAGGACTGCAGGGACATGCATGAGCTTTCCAGAGCACTGCCAATCCCTGAGAGAACAGAGCTCAGGAATCCAGTGCCTCAGAGCACAYAAAACACAACAGGAACATGCTTGGCCTCTCCCTGGATGACACAATGGACACCRAGGGATGCCAAGCTCCATGTGGGGACTGTACTTGTTTCTAGGAACTAATGAGTAAGGCTAAATAAAACCCCAAAGTACTCAGGGACTATCTATTATCTTTCAAATCCCAAATCTCCTCTTCCCCTCAGTGTGGTGAGGACAATGGACAGCAGCTACAAAGCAGAAAGAAAGGCACAGCCAACTGTACACTCCACAGATAACTCAGATTCTCCCCCAAAAAAAAAAAAAATTGCCTTATGGTATGAATTATTYGGATGTGTTTAGAGAAAGAGCAGCTAAGGGCACACTTGAGTGTGKGGGGAGGAGCTTCCTGAGGAGCACACAAGACAGCAGAGCACTCTTGCTGTCCAGGCAGGTTCCAAGATCCATCTTTCACCAATGGCAACTGCAGAACAAAGTAAAAATGGGTAAATTATTTTTCTTTGCTTTGATTATAGCCAATGGCCTTTGATAGTATTTATTTGAAGATCCACAGGATTACGGCCTACTAAACACAGCTTTAAAAATCTAACAGGGAGTGCCAAAAAGAGGCAAAAAGTTGCTGCTTCCTGCCACACGTTTTGAACCATSAGCTCAGGCATCCTAAGTGAAAGTTCTCTCAGGTCACCCATGCAGAGCTGCTCAAGCAGAACACATGTATGCAAATGCCTGAGGGAAAAAAAGTCCTGGGCACAGGAGCATGGTGAAAAGGCTTAAACCCGAGCCAGCTTCATCTGAAAGCAAAAGGCAGTCTGGTGGCAGTGCAAGAACCCTTGTTGTTAGCTGAGACGGCTGCAAGCTCAGCATCTGGGCTGGTTTCTGCATTGTCCCCCTGATGAGGCACCACTTCTGTCAACTGTGCTTGGCTCAGGTGCACTTTGAGAGCCTCATGGTGCTGCTACATAAGAGCATTTCAACTCATCCTCCCAGCAGGYCATACCCTGTAGGGTGAATATCCTCAATTCTGATGGTATTTACAGCTGCTCAAAGCACAGAATCACAGGATGGTTTGGKTTKGAATGACCWTAAAACTCATCTTGCCCCACCCCCTGCCACAGGCAGAGACACCTTCCACTAAACCAGGTTSCTCCATCCAACCTGGCTTTGGACACTTCCAGGGATGGGGAGYCCACAACCTCTCTGGRCAATCATAAAATGCAGCTTCTTAAATGCTTCAAGAACAGAGTTTTCAGTGTAACCCWGAGAAATCAACCCAAATCCTTACCTGCTGATGTCCATCTGGGGTACCTTGTTTTTGTACTTGAATTTGAACTGATACAGTTCAGTGAGTGTCTAGAGATGGAACAAAAGAGAGGAGAAGCAGAAATGGGTCACTTGGAGTAACAAGGTGTCTCCTGAGCTTGGAAAGTCCTTTCACAGTCTCTGCCAGAGCACAGCATTATTTTAACGACACAATGACAATTTTAACTCTATTATTGCTTGCACAAGCTTTGGCAAATTCTCCGAACAGCCACATCTTACCTAGCACTGAAAGAATCACAATGAATTTACAAACTTCCTGCCTCCTCCTTCTACTTCCTCTGTGGGTCTGACTCTCTAATCTGCCTCTAGCAAGGTGCCAGGGCCGGCCAATCCTCACAGCWTACCTTGCTAAAGGAAAACTGGGAAGCATGGGTGACCAGTGTTGCAAGGAAGCCTGGCCCCATGCTCTGTATAGGGACAAGCGCCTGGAGGACTCTTCCCACCAAGAAATCCAAACCATATTACATGGGAAAAAGCCACCAATTTCACCGGTCTTGGAGGTTTTTTGAAGTACACAAAAACAGTGGATGATTTTCCATTTAAAAGGATTAGAGAATAAAACAATTAGGAAGAACAGACAACTTCCCCCCAAGAGAAAAGGTCCATTGTACACCAATTCCATGCCTATAATTCACTTTTTCYGGAGACAATGAGGTCGATTGGTAGGAGCTCAGCTGTGCCCTTAACTCTGAGCCTTCCTTGCAAATCCCAGCCTTGGCACAACTCAGCTCCTGCTCTGTCCCCAGACACCGAGGTGCCACACAGCATAACGGGAACCAGGTTCAGGAGCAAAGGGTCTGCAGCTGTTCTCTCATCTCCAGCATGGATGCAGACCCTCACTCCCAGATCACACCCCYCAGATGAAACAAAACAGAAAACAGGGAACACAGAGGCCAAGGACAGGCACTACCCAACACATCCATCCAGGTCTGAAGGGATTTTGACTTCTGTCCTACACCTTCCTACATGASCAAACAGCTCTATTCACGAGGTCTGTTAAAAAGGGGGTTTGCAAATGAGTTATGTTGAACTTCCCATTTTTTTCTCTTTGGGAAACTAAAACAAAACTGTGAACATGCCCATTAGTTGTCTGCTAACATCCCTGCCTGAGGCCCTGGTGGGCCCTCAGCCTGGTGTTTGATCACAGTGCAGCTCACTGAGCTGGCACTTTGGAGTGAAGGCACAAGAACAGAAATGGGGTCACCAAGTAGCTGTGTCAGGGTAGGACTTAAGCCTACGACTCCACTCTGAATACAAATGTACTCACCCATGCCTTCAGCTGCCTCAAAGATTAATTAAGACTCTTTCTTACCTCCGGCTCCTCGGGATTGGTGTAAATCTGTTACAAGAAAGCACAGTGAGGGCATTCTCCCCAGGACAACTCRAACCAGTGACTAACAAGGATATTTTCAGTTTACAGCAGCTTTGCTATCTTTAGTGTGGGATCAGAGAAAGGAATGGCTGGGAAAGAGTCTTCCTCTATCAGCAGTCAATACTTACCACTTCAAAGACAGGTAGAAGACACTCATGTGTATAATATTGGAGGAATGAGGTTAATTCCTATTCAAACCCTTGCAGGCAACTATTGATGCCTGGGATTTAACTGCTCAGATGATGCACAGAGATTTAACTGCTCAGATGATGCAAAGAGTAGAAGCTGAGCAAAGCTCCTGGTGCTTTGCAGAGGGCCAGGGCCAACAGCTGCCTATGGAACCACCAGTGTTTGGTTTTTCCAGAATCAGATTAACAAGGAGTACTCTTCTGCAGGGGGAAAATGGAGAGGACACAGCAGGTTCCATGACAGGAGTCACATGAAAGTGCTTCTCAGAGTTTAAGGATACAAATAAGTCCTCAGTCAGAAGTCTGACACRCTGAGAAACATGTTTCCATGCAGCCTTGAACTCCACATTTACTGTATCTAAGAAAGGTCATGGCTCTATTAAAAACCACACAYATTTCAGTGTCTCCTTAAAAAAAGGCACAAGAGGGTTGACACAACCTTGACTCGGTATCTCTCTCAAGCACGGGAGGGGAGAGAAAACCACTTTGTATTCATTTACTTACTGCAAGGACAGCCACGTGCAGCTAAGGAGGGAAAATCAAAACAAAATACAGAATCAAAATCCAACCTTAGCAGGCAAGGAAAAGCAAGTCCTATCAAACCCTGACTGCTTACACAGGGAGAAGGAATAGATACACTCAACAACCCAGGAGTTATAACCCCTTTTTGCAGATTCTTCCCAGCACAGCATCAGCAACACCTAGTGGCCAGTTTGCCTGGCTTGACTCACWGTTTCTCAAAAAAGAACTCCATGCTCAGCATTCTCCCTCGGGACTCCATTCAAACAAATCCCCAAATACTGATTTWAAACTCTTTACAAGAACACCCATCACTGATGAAGGTTAATATTTGCTTTCTGCTGTGTAATTCTCCAAGGTATTTAATAATACTCTATCAAGGGATTGCACATGGGACTTCCCTTGAAAACAATCTTAAAACATGCACTAAATCCCTCAGTTTTTCCTTAATCCTTGTCAAACAATTAATTTATGTCTCTCCTAAATAACAAAGGATTAAATACCTCCTAGAGCTGTCAGCAAACACTAAGCTGTGTTCACAACATCATTAATTATTTTGTGCACCTTGACAGTTGTACTGATGTCTGAGAAACACTCAGATCATCAGTGTCAGAATGACCAGTGCTCCACCTGATCTGGAGGAGCTGGGCTGGTGCACGGTGCTGACAGAGGATAGCAGCTGGTGCTTTTTCCTCTGCAGGGCAGTTTTTATGTGGGAATCAGCAAGGAATATGAGCACCTGCTAGCTGCTTTTGTCCTGGAACCAGCTACATACCTTATTCGATGAATAATGAAAAAAAATATTATATAATAAAAGTAAATAAATGCTAAATTCTGAGCCTGAGAGAAAAGCCACAAGGGACAGAGGAGAGGAGACGAGATGAAGGAGAAAGGAAATAAAGGACAGCAGAAGCACAGAACCTCTCTCAAGAAAATAGGCAGGAGATCCAGATCTCAGCTCTTCCTGGCAGTGTTTCTATCAGACATTAGAGAACACAAATGYAGAGGATAGAACTTAGGGAAATCCMYTGCAGGCTGCAGAYTGGTTCCTACACCAAGGACAGGTGAGCCCAGAGAGTAACAGTGGTCAGGATTTGGGCTCAAGGCATAAAATCCCAAATCTCATACACAGGGTAGGGTCTTCCCGCTGTCACACAGCTATAAAGGTTGTTGTGTGCATCCAAGACCACAACAAAAATACAGCAGAAATGGAAGGATAGTTTTGTCCTTACTTTATGAAGAAAAAGGACACTCCATTTAAAAAAGTGAAAAAAACCACTTACATACTGCTTCTCCAAAGCATCAAAACAACCTTGTATCCTGCCAGGGAAAAAAACATGTTAATACTAACCAGCAACATTTATCTCCTGATCTGTAAACACTCTCATTAGATGCGGGTTAAAGGGCATTTTTCTCTGGAATTAGGACAACACAACCAACATTTGGGGCTTGCTTGTGAAGTCCTTTCCCAGGTCAGTCCTGAAGGCAGTGTTCTCCTTTCTGCATCTGTGCATTGTTTATACTTCTGGGGCATTATCCTGTCAGCCCAGAGCCTGCTTGAATCCTGACAAAGCCAAGAATYGGAGGCCAAAAGCTGGCTCTGAGTGTGTCCCTGCTCAGTGCTCTGTTCCAGTTCCCCAGCCAGAGCTCTGATGGCTCTTTTCCCATCAGCCTTGTACAGAGCTCRGCTGAATCTGAACATGTCTGGTCTTGTAAATCTTTGTTATCTGATGCAGAGTTTACAGCAATGGATTTTCTCAAAGCAGTAAATATTATTTGAAGTAGCAATGGCCAGATATTTACTCTTGGAGCCAAAGGATGTGCTGCAAGGTATCTTCTTAGCACATCAGAGACAGTTTTTCTRCTTGTTGGGAACATGCCAACTGTGAAATACATCCTGGRGTACTCAGAGAGGGAGATAAAATATTGYATGTWCTGCAAAACAAGTGYAAGAATCCCTATCAAAGTGAAACTAGAAAAGACTAAACACAACAGAAAGGATCTCATGACAGTCTTCACCCTCCCTCTGTACCTCTGTGCTGCGTGTGCTCTGGGGCCTGACCATGACCTCACTGCAGCCACCACATCCACAGAACTTGAACTCACATGATCTCAGTCACTAATTCTGTCCTGCTTACACAGGGGCCAAGCACCCCCCGCCCCCCTCCCCGGCCACAGCGGGAGCTCCCCTGGCACAAGGGCACAACGTTTTCCAGCTCAGGAAGAAGAAGAATGCAGGGGCAGATGTCTCCTACTCAGCACAATCTCGTCTTGGTTTCGCTGTTACTCACTTACCACTTGACTATCTGCAGTGATCCCAGACAGCTTTTATCTTCTCGGAGAATTTTTAGACAGAGGTCTGCAAAACCAGATTTAGCTCATAGTTACAATCCTTATCACAGCTCTTGGGCAAACACTGAAACTAAGCCAGTCCACCCTCCCTTTTTTGGATAAAAGCTTTATCTGAAGGTCCTTCCTGAGCGGAAATGTTTAGTTTCCACCAAGTCCCAGGTGGGCTGACACAACTTCTTGCTGGGTTTGCCAATGTCAGAGCTTTCCTCAGAAGCTCAGGGCTCTCCTGGAAGAAGGGTTGGAGTTACAGCTTTCTTTCAAAACTCCAGCTACTTTATTCTCTTCTCTCTCCTCCACTTCATCCTATCCCACCATTCCCTAACAACACCTTCCCTTCRGCTTTTAGACTTTGTCAACACCCACGTGAGTTGATGTCTCAATGGCTATGCTCACAATCAACTATTTCTGTGAAGCTTTTCATCACACCTCCTTCTACCTGTGCTTCCAGAGATTCAGAATGGTAAAAGGAAAACCTGTTCTGCAGGTGAAGAGGTGTGTTAATAACACCTTAGGTCTCAACCAAAGGGTATGTGAAGACATGAACAGGCCAGATGTCAACACCCTCCATTAAAAAGGCACTAGAAGGACCTGACATTTCACCAGTGGCTTTCAGGGGTAGGGGATCAAGAGCCAATTTGGGATTTCTGTGCCRTCATCCACACCTACAGAGYACATGTGAAMATGTTTCAGGGCAACTAATGCCATAAGGGACAACAGGGAAAGGGACTGGAATGCATGATGGCATTTCATACTTTGAATGATCATAAAGACGCTCATGAATCAAAGCATCACTAATTCTTGGGATCATGTGACAAGAGTTTGGTTCTAAAGGTCCTTTTTTTCTCAAAAAGTTCTTATTCCCAAAGCACATGTGAGATAGCTTTCATGGAAAAAAAATCCCAAAGCAAATAATAAAACTGTTTTAAACTGAAGGAGGGATGATTTAGATTAGATGTAAGTTTTTTACAATGAGGGTGGTAAAACATTRGCACAGGTTGCCAAGAGAGATGGTGGATGCTCCATTCCTGGAAATGTTCAAGGTCAGGTTGGATAGGAYTTGGAGCAACCTRGTCTAGTGGAAAKTGTCCCTGCCCATGGCAGAGGGGTTAGACCAGATGGTCTTTAAAAGGTCCCGTCCATCCCAAACCATTCTACAGTTCTACGAAAACAAACAAATCTACTTTCAATCTCCCAGTRAAAACTAAAAATGTGAACCTCATGGGTTCAAAAACCATAAAAACCCAAAACATTCCAGTAACAGTATTTTTTTTAAACTTTCAGATTTTTAAGTCACTCTCCTGACTCTGAGACCTGATTCACAGGGCTGGCAATGCCAAAAATGACTCTAATCCAAGAGAGACATCAACAGAAAAGCTGGAATCTCAAGGCTGTCTTCCATGCTCTCTTATCAGAAGAACTGTCTGCACCCAGAATTGATGTTGCAGCCAGCTCTCACCCAAAGTGAACTTACATGTATGCACAGCCAGGAGGTAACACAGAAAGCAGATTATAGCTAAAATGTAGTGGACAGAAAGAAACAGTCAGCACAAATGGCAAGGGTTACCATCCAGATAGCGAGTGCCATAGGAGCTCTCTGGGAACAGCCCTCTCATGTAGGTTATGCAGGACACAGAGATGGCCAGGAGCCTCTTCACCAGCACCAAGGACTGCTGCTCTGTGGTGATGATCTCAGGGAACAGCGCTGCTTCCTGAAAAAAGCAGGGCAATGCCAAAAATAGCACCTTTTTAAGTGCAACACGGGGATTATATTTAGAAACAACTCACAGCAGGTGGAAAAAGGGTAACTTAGGAGTGTAATTTTAAGGTTTCTCCAGTGTTTAAGCTACGCAGGAAGRCTCATGTTTAAGGTGGGTGGGATTCAATGATTTAAGGGTACTGATCAAAGATCTGACATCATTACTCAGATTATGTCAGATGCACAGGTTGGACATTCCCTCCCTTTTATTGCATTCCCACACCCTCCACTGCACCAATGCTGACACTTAAGAGACATCTACCCCTAAAAAAGGTGTGTAGTTGTAATTGTAGGGTCACACAAATGCCATGGCTGTTGTGGCAGCCACTGTTGCACCCAGGGTGCTGTTTTGAGCTCCGACAGCAGCCAGAGTTGCCAGTAGAGTGATTTTAACTCCAAGCTGTAAAACAGCACCTGGACCTACAGYAAATACACAGTGTGTGATGCCAACATGAACAATGCAGTGGACATTACACTAAATTTACTTCTTCTCTTACTTTATTGCTGTTCTTCCTGCTAATAAMGCTCTGTGCACACTTAATGAGCCTACATTTATTGAGTCAAACCATGGCAGAGCCCCACACTGCTTCTCAGTGAATTGGAAATAATCCAACTAAGAACAGCGCAGACAGCAGAAAGTGTTCCCCACCTCCGCAGGCACAGGCGTGCCAGGTCSCAAACTGAGAGCTAAGACTGCCTGTACCATCCTATTTTAATTTTTTACCTTAGTGGGCTTTTTCTTTTGCCTGAGTAGCTGCTGAGAAGCCATCCTGTGYTTCAAAGATCTGCCTTCCACTTGTAACTAAACCCTGAAAAATAAAGAAGATACGCAGCACAAGGAAAACACAGTTACTGCTATTTCTCATCTTTCTTCAAGTAAGAATGAGATGTTTCAGAGTTTGAAAGCTAATTGCCAGGCAGGACAGGTAAAGCAAAGCAAACCAAGGGTACTCCATGGCACTRAGCCTGCAGTGCATGAAAATTCCTGCTCACTGGTGAACGATCAATAGTGTTTGAGATTCAGGGCCACAACTGCACCTGGTGTCAGTTGGTGCCACTTCAGAATGCATTTCTCATATTCCAAACCACAAATGTTAATTCCTACAACCATTAGCAAGTGTGAAGGGGGAATGTGAAAGAACTGGAGGTCTGCCAACAGCAGTTAATATTTTAGCAAGGGTAAGCAGGAAACGCACTAACATCAGCCTTGGCCGAAATAAGGGAATGAGTCTTCTGGGACACCTTGAAGGGCGAAATTAAATAGGAAAGAAAAAAAAAAAAAAAGAAGTTCAAATTGCTTCAGTTAGAGGAGCCTGGGTTGAAGAGGAAAATACTCATTTTACCAGAATGGGGAGCTGATTGATACAGGCGATAATGTGGACATTCCATGTTTCTCACTTGAGTGAGGTGCTTGATTTAGCACCATCTGACAATCTTGATTAAAAACTTCCATTAGCTGGAATTAACAAGGCCTGCGTTAACTGGTTTGAGAAATGACTTGCTGGGAGATCTCCACATCTCGTCGTTAACGGGGGATGTTAATGAAAGGAAAYACCATGAACAGGTCCCGGAGGGACGCTGCCGTGTCCGCAGCCAGTCGATATTCCCAGCAACAATTACAGTAATAGCACAAACACGGTGGGGTGATTTAACTCCTGACCTAATGCAGCCTTTTATTAACTCAGCTGATCCAACCTTGTTCTGCATTTGTACCTTTTGTGCTCTTTTCTTTCTGTGGAAGCCTCATTTCCATTTGTTGGCAGTCATTAAGGCATGTTGATTGGAACATGGTGACAGCTTTTATGCTAAATTTAGTGCTTCATTTAGTAATGAGGACAGATTACAGCTATAAAAGTATATTTAAACAAATACACACCTGCAAAATTTTTAATGTGTTAAATATTTTAGCAAAGTAGCTTTTTTCTACCCAGGCACTGTGAGCAGGACTGGAATGCAATCAAAGCAGACAAAGGTGTTGTTATTGCAACACGAGATTATTAAATAAATAAAGCTGATTTAGGTGAGACAAAGAGGTAAGAGAACATGTTTTATAAACCATACCGCATTTATATTAATTTACTGAGAAGGAAACATCACCCAGACTGAGCTGACCCACTCTGGCCCAGCTGCTCAGGTTCAAGGTACAAGAATTTGGGCAYCAGTCAAAAGGAAGGGACAGAAGATGGCCTGGAACTCCAATGCTCCCCCACTCTGCAGCCACCTCATCACCGAATATTAGGAAACTAGTATTAAATGGTCAAAAATAAATCTCATCCTCAGGAACCCCCAGCTTCCCAACACTCTCAGCCCTGCACCACTCACTCGGACCCTTGTGCCAACACCAAACATATTCTTCGATGTTGGACATATGAGGCACGGCAGCCCTTAAAAAAAACAGCCATGGCTCCAAAGACGGGGTTTAGTCTTATTTTGGGGAGGTTCCTGGGGAGTTTTTATGAGGGGAAGCCCAGGCCCGGCCGGGTTCCACACAGAGCCGGTTCTCCCCCTCACACGGCGGCACCGAGTGGCACCGGGATCCCCGGGGAGGGTCCCCTGTGGCGCGGGGGTGGCAGCGCTGAGGAACCCCCGAGRCCCGAGGGAAGCCCCAGAGGCAGAGGAGGGTCCCGTGGAGAGCGGGAGGGACTCCCTGAGGGACTTGGGGTCCCCCTGAGGTGCGGGGAGTTCCCCTGAGGCGCTGGGAAGAGCTGTGAGGTACGGACGGTGCTCCTGAGAAGCAGAGGGATTCCCGACGCACTGAAGGGCCCATGAGAAGCAGAGAGACTCCTGAGGCACTGAGGGGTCTTTGAGGCGCTGGGATGCCCTGAGGGGTGAGGGGTCAATGAGAGSCTATGGTGCCCTGTGAGGAGCGGAGGRACTCCTGAGGGACGGGGGGAGGTTCCTCCTGAGGCACGGGAAATTGTAAGGCGCTGAGGGACCCCTGAGGCGCGAGAGAATCTGAGGTGCCGAGGGCTTCCTTGAGGCGCTGAGGGACCCCTGAGGCGTTAAAGGATCCCCTGAGGCGCTGAGGGACCCCTGAGGCGTTAAAGGATCCCCTGAGGCGTTAAAGGATCCCCTGAGGCGCTGAGGGACCCCTGACGCGTTAAAGGATCCCCTGACGCGTTAAAGGATCCCCTGAGGCGCTGAGGGACCCCTGACGCGTTAAAGGATCCCCTGACGCGTTAAAGGATCCCCTGAGGCGCTGAGGGACCCCTGACGCGTTAAAGGATCCCCTGACGCGTTAAAGGAACCCCTGACGCGTTAAAGGAACCCCTGAGGCGCTGAGGGACCCCTGACGCGTTAAAGGATCCCCTGAGGCGCCGAGGGACCTCTGAGGGCTCTCCTGGGGCGCGGGAGAATCTGAGGCACGGATGGCTCCCCAGAAACACAGAGGGCACCGCTGGAGCATGGCCGCTCCGGCCGGCACTGCCCGTACCGGCACTGCCCGTACCTGCACTGCCCGACCCCGCTCCGCAGACTCCCCTGGCACGACTCCGCCAGATCTCCCGGGCCTGGGCGGTGCTGGGGGCGGGCGGAGGCGGGGACGGGGACGGCCCAGCCCGTGAGGCGGAGATTTGACTCTGCCCCTGTTTGTGTGTCTTTCCCTGACCCCATTGCTCTCCCTGGCCATGTTCCTACCGCAGCACTTGGTCTCTCACCGCCCTTGCTCTGTTCCTGTCTCTGACCCTGCCTCTCTCCTGTCCCTATCTTTATCCTTGTCACCCTAACCCCAGGAATTCGGGCCAGACAAGGTCCTGCAAAAGCAGTAGCAGCAGGGCCATGGCAGGGTGGTGGTGTGTTACCATACCTGTTTAAAATCATTTTATAGTAAAACACTGGGTTTACTAGCAATATATCACCCCAAAGAAAGTGCAGTTTTAAATTACGCAAGTCCATATTCTCAGAATATTCTAAGGTACTTTTCTCCTTGGAGAAGATAGGGGAGACTTGGTATCATCCCAGCTCAAAGGCATCAGTGACTTCATTAAGGAGCAGAGTATTTTGGAGCCAGTGTCACAATCTAGACAAGGAGGATGGGTTCTCTATTTCACTGGTATCTTATTTACAGAATAATATGCCTAAAACAAATTTCCCCATCTCTAGGCAATTGATTGTCCTTCACATAAGGAAACATATTTTTCCTTCCCTTCTCTACTCCAATTACCTTTCCAAGCAATTCAGGGGGATGCTGGTGAGAGCATGTCCCTCCCTTCCCAGTTCCCCAGCTCTGAAAATGCCAGKCCATCCGGTTATGATGGTTTGTACAGCTGGTAGGGGAGAACACTGTTTCCCGAACACTTGTGTTTTTCCAGCCGTTTTTGGATCTCTTTCTATAGACCTTTTCCCTAGTTCAGTGGACAACAGCTGCTGGAAAGCTCCTCCCTGAGGGAGGAGGGAAGAACTCATTGATTTCTCAAGACTAACTTCACAACACTCAAACAAACCAGGATTGGTGCTTCTGTGGGGCGAGGAAGGGTCTGCAGGTGTGAGCTGTTTTGGTGACGCGCACGGTGCTTTGCTGGATCATATTTGCCTGTCGCCTGCCCTRGTGGAGGTCCAGTGCCACCTGCAAGTCGTGGGAATCGGGTCACTTTCTGCRTTAGGACAAGTGCCAAATGCTGGGTATTAAAGGAATCAACAAGACTGTGGGGCAGGAGCAACAGGTTGTCACGCAGGAAAAACGAGTGTTAGAAGATGTGGAAATGCCCCTTGCAAGGAGAGAAATGGAGACYCTCTTCCAGGAGCAGCCCGAGACTGGGAACCGGTACTTGGAAGACACTTTGCTTCGGAGTTACCTGAAAACACACCTTCCTCCCAAGGTCTGTTTGTGTTTCTGTGTGTACCCACCATGACTCTGCTGAGTCGCTGCTTCAGGCTCTTAATTGAATGTTTGTATGAGCCTTTTTGCRTCTTTGAGCRTTTTGTGTCTTTGAGGGAATTTATYRGCATTCCTTAAAACTTGCTGTGTTTGAGGGCAGGGATGACTAACACTGCCAGGACATAAACAGCAAGCAGCTCAGTAGGTTTCTGGGACTGGTTTGGGTGTTGCAATGTTGTTTTGGGATGGGCATTGCAGGCATTTGTTGTCTGGTCATGTAGAGGAAGGAATTCTGAGAGAGGGAACAAACTAAGGTGCTTCCAAACTCTGCTGTGTTCTTCCCCGTCTCTTCCCCACAGAAGAGGGAAAATTCCCAAGGAATGGGGCTGTTCTCAGYCGAGTGCTCAAGAGGGTGGAAAGGCCCCTTGGGGTTTTCTTGTTCTCAGCAGAGGTCTGTGGCATTTCTGRGTTAATTTCTCAGCCAGGGAAGGTTCTGTACAGATTTCAGGGGTGCAGATAGTGAGGTGAGACCCTGAGCTCTGGTCTGGGAGCTCCAGTCCTACAGGAACCCCTGAGAGGACTCAGTCTCCTCACTGGATATCCTCTGCCATCACCCCAAGGACCACAAGTGCKTCCCTCTTTTCAGGGACCAGTTTTCATGGAGCAGCGTGTGACCTCTCTCCATGATTTATTCCAGTAGATGCAATACCATGACCTCTGAAACCACCAGGTGACCAGAGGGGAGGAGACCTGGCTTTCAGTGAGGCTCCTATTGGCCCTGCTTGCCCTCTAGATCTGTGAGGCCTCGCAGACACAGCAAGGGAAGAGCATGGTGGCAGTGCTTGGAGCTTTTTTTTTGCCCAGAAGAAAGGAATGAGGCCTCCCTAAGCACCACTGTGGCCTTCTTGCCAGAAAAGACRGGAAAGGAGAATGCCTTTGAGCAACTCTGGGGATCCTGCTCCTAATCTGAACCTTCGGAGGAAGCATGGACTAGGTCTCGACAGAATGAAAGGATCAGTGTAACAAAACTGCTTCCACTCCTTCCCCGAAGAGAGAACAGTGGCTGAAAAATCTCCTGGAGATCAGGGAGCAGCATCTTCCTTTAGTTTCTGCACTCGGTCCCAGCGGGGCAGTGTTGCCTCACTGCTGGAAAGGAGAGCCCGGGCTGCTGCCTGCAGCACTGAAAACTGGCTCTCTATGGGAACACCTTCCTGTCCAGGACAGCAGCAATCCCTGAAGTTTTGGGTGTCCTGCTGGAGCTGGAGGTTGATTCCTGTTGTGCTGTTCCATGGTGAACACAGAAATTTTCTTGAAATGGCACAAAAAAAATCTTTGTTTGAAGGTGATATAAGGAGAAGACAGAATTAAGTAATTAAGTTTTGTGAAGAGGGATCTCTTGGGCTTTGCTGCCCTAAGAATGCATCCTTTAATATAAAGGATATCTATTTGCACTCGTAATGTGCAATAATTTGCACATTTCCAATGTCTTCATGCTTGGAACATCAAAGGACAGAAAAGGGTGAATGAGAYCATGCAGCACCCTCAGCCCTGACCCAAATGATTTTGTCTTCTCCATATCTCAGTGCCCATTCTTTGGAATGGTGTGTGTGACATTCAGCAGTCACAAATGTAGGAGTTTTGATTTTCTTCTTCCACCTTGGAAATGTACAGATTTTTTTGAGAGTAATTTGGTGGTTTGTCAGGCTGTGTGTTTTTTTGTGTCAGCTGGAGGGTTTTTAAGAAATATGGGTAATGGTGTAGGGATTGTTGTATGGGTTCCCCATAGAGATCTACCTGGTAGACTCATGTTCTTCTGCCCACAAAAAAAACCCACCAGGTCAACAGCTCAAAGTTTATTGTGCTTCAGCACAAGTTCAGTCCATGAACTTTGGATTCCTGGATTATCCTTGAAAACARCCTTTAAATTGTTGTCAATCAAGTCATGATAAAGATTGGAGATGCACACCCATGGCAAACATGGGTGTGGTGTGAGCTTCTTGTGCATGGTTTTGGCTTGCTTTGAGATTTTTAACACTATTTCACTGTTCAGCTGAAGGAAAACTGGCTGGTCTGAGGATGGAGACTTCCAGAGTAGCACCTGGACAAGATGTGTTTGATCCTCATCAACATGTGGAATGGCAGAGTGAGGAAGGAATCATTCACACAGGATGTAAATTAATGAAAAGTCAATATAGGGACAGGCAGGGAAAGGAAGAAGCCATGTCTGTATTTCAGCAAGAGCACATTAATGGGGTTTATAACAGCACAATTTCAGATTCCACAACTACAGCATTCATCTCCTTCATTGTTTTATTGAGGAGGGAATGMGCATCTCTTGAGAGGCAGAGAACAGCAAACAATTCCTCTGATGGAAGCAAATCAGGTGCATCTTTGACCCCCAACACAGCCTTGGAYGAGTTTAGGCCAATGAGGTCCAAGAGTGCTGGAGGCTGGGTCCTCCTGAYCTGATTTTAATCATCTGTATTTGGGGTCATTTAAATATGGGCAACTTCACTTGGTCTTTGTCAACTTGTCGACAAGAGAACTTGCAAATGGCAATTCCTGTYACCCTGAACTAGGCTTCTGAGTGGTATGGAATGAATCACTCCTCTGTGAGTGCTGGTTTCCCTCCATTAACTATGGACATATTGCTCCATCCAGGTCAGCCAAGCCCAGCGGAAATGGGGGCACATGAATCCTTCAGGAAGCTGGCTACAGGGTGGGGATTTGAACTGAGACACGTGTGCCAGGCTGAAGCTGAAATGATTGCTCCATCCCTCCTTTTTTAATCTGACAGGCAGGTAGCTGCTGAGCCCAGTGGAAGTTTTCCTGTACAGATGAAGGCATTCCATTTTTGGCAGCCCTTCCCCTGGCATTCTTCTCCAGCAGTAAATCACAGAGCGGCTGAGGGACCTCTGGAGACCGTCTCGTCCAACCCCCCTGCTCRTGTGCATCTGTGTCATTCGCAGCCTTGACACTAAAGTGCTTCTGTCTTTTGTGAAATCCAGACACRCTGCCAAAAGTAACTTGAAAAAATGGTTTTGAGGGAAAAAAAGAGAAAAGTGACAGTGGAGCACAGCTGTGCCAGCAGAGGCTGAGGGAGCTGTCGTGCTGTGTTATGAAATGCATGGAAGGGCCAAGTGGCAAGAGACCACTGGCACTGCGGGACAGCATGGTCAGTCCTCTGCCTTTCCACTGGTACTGAGGCTGGGATGTGCTGGAGTGCTCTCCTTGTTGCTCCACAGGTCCTGGAGGAGGTAAATCAGGACCTGGAGAGGTTTGGAAACCGCCTGCAAACYGAGATCCAACCTCTGAGCTGGGAATGTGAGCTGAACCCCCCGGTGTTCCAGCAGTACGATGCCTGGGGGCGGCGTGTGGATCACATCCACACCTGCTCRGCGTGGAGGAGGATGAAGGAGATTTCGGCTGAAGAGGGGCTGATTGCTGAGGCCTATGAAAGAAGATACTCCARTTGGAGGTAACTGGGGGAAAATGGGAATGACTCAGTGCCCTCCCRGTTATTCTTAGCAAGGTTTGTTCAGCATTTTGCAGGACTGAGCTGGTTGTGTAATGGGTAGCAGATGCTGCACGGACACCAGCACAGCTCCTGCTGTCCCCAGCAGCTCTGTCTGTCCACTGCAATGTTCCACCTCACCAATGATAAGCCATAACTAATGGCCCACACTTGATCATAATATTCTTTGATGTCACCTTCCTGATTGTGGGGCCTGGCAGTTCCCTGCACCACTCCAGCCTTATGTGTGTTAATTGTAATACAGCTAAAGATCTGGGATTTCAATTGCAGGTTTTTGGTATTCCAGRCCATGGAAACAGACCCTCATTTCATATTAAAATCTGCACAAGCTGGCCTGATGCTGGCTGTCCCACTGGGGCTGAGAAACTCTGCTGCTCCTCTTCCCTCTTCCTGGCATGAACAGTTTTTGCTCTCTCAGAAATAAGTGGTCTGATCCTCCCCCATTCTGGCTGTATTTTTTGCTCTTTTCCCAGTCGAGATGTTTTATCCTCCTGCTGTTACACTGCTGTGTAACCTGTCTGTTTCCCCTCTCTCTCTCCCTCTCCCAGCCGCCTGTACCARGCTGTCAAACTGTACTTGTTCTCAGGCTCCTCTGGAAGTTTCCATGTTCCACTGGCCATGACTGATGGGGCAGCCAAAGTCATTGAGGTATGAGCTGAGCTGGTCCCTGAGGGCACTGCCCACATCCTGGCAGTGCTGGTTAGAGACAGGAGCRTCAGCCAAGGATGGAGGAGCACTGATCCATCTGGTTCTGGGCATGGCCCTTCCTTGCTCTGTGACTCAGCTCYGTCTCCCACTGCCTTTCTCTGCTAGGGACAAAGTCTTTGTGCCCAGACCATCTTTTATATTCACTTACAGCATTCTGTTCAACATAGCCTTTGCTGCACATGCCACTTGTGGCACTGCAGGTAGTTGGAAAGGTGTCCCAAGTGGAATTGCTCCAGGCTGGGTKGGACAGGACTTGGAGCAGCCTGGGATAGTGGAAGGTGAGGTAGGGACAGGGGCGTAGAGCTGGATGAGCTTAAATGTCCCTTCCAACCCAAAGCATTCTGTAATTCTATGATTCTCTGATATGTTTGTATTGTGAGATAATTTGTTTTCCCATATTTRAGTGGAGTGCAGTTAGATATACTAGGCCAGATCCATGCCTGATGTAAATTCACCAAGCCACCAAGACATTTCCTACTGGAATGTTTGGCTCTGCATCTTAGTGACCCCCTTTGCATTGCCTCAGTGGCTATGTAGGATTCAGAGGAAAATGTCCCTTAGGTAGCTAACCCTGGGCATTSTAATTCAATAAAACTTAAAGCAGCACAAGGCAGTTCTCTGTTCCTGGCAGCTCTCTGGGTGCTGGTGACACCCAGCAAACATGAACCTGGCACATAGGCTGTTTGAGACCTTTCTGCCCAGAAATTCAAAGGTRTAGGGATGTTCATCACTCCCTGTTGTAACACAGGTCTGCACCTTCTGCCTGCACAGTGCTGCAGCAGCCAGGTGGGAGCTGGGCTGGCTCGCAGGCTCTCAGCAGCATCTGCAGATGCTTTGCAATGCAGGACATCCACCTGTTTCCAGACTGGTCTGAACACTCCAGTTAAGGCAACTGTATAATCTCAACAGTTGTTATGAGCATCTCAGTTTCTTTTCCCTCCCCTCAAACAGTCACTGGGTATTCCTGGATCTCTGAAAAACACTTTTGGCCATCTGACATCCCGCAACCCYGAGAAGTTCTGGACCTCCGGCCAGTGGATGACCGAGCGAAGGGGTGGCTCAGATGTTGGTATGTGCTCTGAGGTGGGAACAGATATGGCAGTGARAGCTGAGAAAATGAAGGGTATGTGGAACTTAAAAATCCAGGGAGCAGAAATTATCCAAATCYTCTTCATAGCTCTGCTTTTTAATCAGCAAAAAGCCAGTCTCTGTCCTCTGGTGCACACAGGACACACAGGCAGGCACAGAGCTCTGCTCCTTGCACGGGCAGCACACAGATCTCTGGCTTGAAAATCTAAACCCTGAGCCACATAAGCCCATCTCAGCTGGGACTGAAAAAGCATTTTGACCTTCAACTTTTATTCTATGGCTAATGCTTGTTATTATTAACAATACTTACTTCTAACATTAATAATGGGCAGGGAACCTCAGAACTCTGCTGCAGAGTCAGAACTGTGGAGGGGAGTCGTCTGCATCTGATGAAGCTGCAGTTGGTTTCCCATGGAAGCAGTGAAAGGAGCAGCTGTGAAGTGAAAGATGTGCATCACTGCAGGAGTCCCAAATCCATAGAGCCCTTTGTGCTCTTGCCTTCTCCCTAAAGAACTGGAGGCACTGGATTATACATGCTGCACTTCTTATCGAGGGTCAATGAAAGAGATTAACAGCTAACCCATGCTCCATCCTCATAGCAAGGAGTGACTTAAAGGAGCTGCTGCTTAAACTGGAAAATCAGCATTGATTGACACAGAAGTTCCACAAGACSAGGAAATTTTCTCCTCTCTTTCAGCTAATGGCACTGAGACTGTGGCCAGGAAGCAGCCGGATGGCACCTATCATCTGTATGGGTTTAAGTGGTTCACATCAGCAGCTGATTCTGATGTGACATTAACCCTGGCCAGGATAGCAGATGCTGAAGGACAGGTAAACCTGTTCTGTTGGATGAAGAACCAGGGGAAGGAGTAGGATGCAATTCCTTCTTGCATTGTAATGACATCTTCTCTGTCTGCCTTTCAGTGTACCCAGGGCTCCAGAGGCCTGTCCCTGTTCTTCCTGAGAGTTCGAGATGAGGAGGGGAAGCTGAACAATATTGAGGTGCAAAGGCTGAAGAACAAACTGGGCACAAGGCAGATGGCAACGGCAGAGCTRTGGCTGCAAGGAGCCAGAGCAGAGCTGGTGTGTAAGGGTTCACCCGCCCTGGGGACTGGGCTGCCCTGGCATGGCACACACTCCTGGCAGTTTCAGCAGTGATCCCAACTGAAAAAGTTCCTCTTTACCACCTCCTTGGCTGGYTATCCACATCACAGAACACTTCAGTAGTGGGGCTCTGTGTGGGGCAGAGTTAAGAAGAGTTCAGGAAAGGAGGGGAGGAAAGAGAACAAAAAAAATATCGTTTTAGGCTGTTCATTTTCTTCATCAAGGCCCCCGAGCCACCTGAGGACAGTTTGTGTAGTGTGCAGATAGGAACAAGCAGCAGGGACCAGAACTGGTCATGCTAACCCAGTCTCCAAAGCMACCTCTCTGGCCATAGAAACAGAATCCCAGGACAGTCTGGKTTGGAAGGAACCTTAAAGYTCATCTCATTCTGCTCCTTGCCATGGGCAGGGAYACCTTCCATTAGCCCAGGTTGCTCCAAGCCCYGYCCARCCTGGTCTRGAACACTTCTAAGGATGGGGCAGCCACATCACGCCACAGACTTGGCTACAATGAGACAGAGGTATTTTAAAGCAAGCAAGTGTCTAAGTGCCTGAGGGCAGACAGGGACAGARTGGACAGCCTTTGTCCATATGTCTGTTGACACCACTTTCACTTCCATATCCATCCCCAYCCAAGGTGTGCAAAGGGCTCATGATAGCCTTTGTTCCTTGCAGATCTCTGCAGAGGGCCGTGGAGTGGCYGCCATCTCCAACATGCTGAACATCGCTCGGATGCACAACATCATTGGCGCAGTGGCTTCCATGAGAAGGTGAAGGCAGCATGTATCCTCTCAGAGCTGAGGGGGCAGCTTGGGGACTTGGCAATGCTCAGCATTGCATCCCAGGGTCACCCTTGTGGGACAGGCCTGGAGCCAGTAGTGCTGGAGGAGGGTGGCYTGTGKGTGGGTRACCCAGGCAGRTGRGGCAYAGCTGGGCAGGGTTCCCCTGGTGGWGGGGCTGGAAGGGAATGYTCAGAAGTGRAAAGCTGCTGGTGGAACTGTTCCCTGCCTGTGTTCTCTCCAGGATGATCAGTCTGAGCAGGGACTATGCCCGCAAGCGTGTGGCCTTCGGGAAACTCCTCAGGGACCATCCCCTGCACATGCAGACGATTGCCCGGCTGGAGGTGAGGCTTTTGGGATCAGAGCTGCACCTGTGGGGAAGGAAAGAGGCAGAGATTCTGTGCTGTCAGGGACCACAGCCAGCCTGCCTATGGACGGCACTTGGATGTAGGAGGCCATTCCTGCTACMAGGGAATTGCCATACTCTAGTGGGATTTGATCTGATTACAGACCTAACTCCTCTGCTGGACTTTGGGTTATCCTAAACAGTTATCCGGAAGTTCCCCTGAGAGAAAGGAGTGCCCCTACTATAATAAGACGTGATCTTTGAAGTAGGGTGTTGCCCTCAGAATCCAGGCCTGACACAACAGTCACTRGAACTGCAGTTATCAGACTCTTGTCCAAGACTGGTGCAGACTCATCCARCTTCCCTGGGAGTTCCTGCACTGGGAGATGAGCTGTAAACAGTATTTAAAAATTCTCTTGCAAGGTGGGAGAGAGGAAAAATGTTCAACATCTGTTAAACATGACTTCAAGCTCCAGCATCTCCTTGTTTGTGGGCAGAACTCCCCCTCTGAAAGAAAGGGCAGATCCTGTATAGTCCCACAACACAGAGCTCCATATCCTGATGCTTCCCAAATCTTGCCAGGAAAGTGAGCTACTCAGGAAGAAATCTGTCACAGATCTTGCAGCTCCTGGTGCTCAGAGGTTGACCATCATCTCACATCCCTTACCCTTGGAAAGGGTGTGGATACAAATGGCCTGGATGCCTTTTAGGAACTTTGCTAAGGCCTGGTGAAATGCATTACCCCTTTCCTCTACTAGATCACTGTGTCCAAGAGTGACAGCTCCAGAGAACATTTAATATTCCATGGTTTGTGTCTTGTCTGATTGGATGTCTCTGARGCTGTGGGTCTGTGCAGACAGGAGTGGCATTTTGTCCTGGAGGCAATCACATGCATGGAATCCTGGAATCAGCCAGATTCTAAGATCCCTGCCAGTGAATCCCCCTGTTCCCTGCTCCCAGGTGCAGGCACGAGGGGCGTTTCTGCTGCTGATGGAGATCGTTCGCCTGCTGGGCCTGGCTGAAACCAACCTGGCGAGTGAGGAGGACCAGCTGCTTCTGAGGCTGCTCACCCCAGTSGCCAAACTGTACACAGGGAAGCAGGTATGGAACAGTGGGATGTGCAATATCAGCACCCACAGAGCTGGGAAGAGAAGTGGGTGACAGCAGTGAGAGCAGGGGATGCCTGSAGGACCTGCAGCAGTCACTGCTCTGGAGGCTGCTGCTCCTGCAGGTCCTCTCTCAGTGCCACTCAGGTTTCATTCTCCAGCTGCTGCTCCTGCAGTAATGACCTGCCTGCCTCAGGAGATGAGCAGGATCCAGTCAGCACATCCCAGCAGGAGAGGCTGGATTTTCCCCTCAGACACTGTGGATCATGCCAACTCTCTGCATTCTGCAGGCTWCTGCTGTGGCTCTGGAGGCCATGGAGAGTTTTGGGGGCCAAGGTTACATGGAGGACACAGGCCTGCCAGTCCTTCTCCGGGATACTCTGGTAAGAGGGTGGCAGRAGAAGGTCCTGTGTGTCACCAAGTCCCTGCACAGCCCTCTGGTTCCCTGCTGGCTCTCCAGGGAGARCACAGCCCTCCCAGGCTCACTCCAGGTGTGGCAGCTCTTCCCTCCCTGCCTTCCTGCTGACCCCAGTCCCCCCCAGGTAGAGACAGGATGAGTTCCTGGTGCTGAGGTTGTTCCCTAGCACAGTAATGCAGCTGGGCTCCACTGCTTATTTCCACTTTTTGTGAGACATCTCTGGAGATATCCTTGAYATCCCTTCCTTCTGCCCTGTCTGTTCCCTCACACTCACACTCACATTCTTTGTTGCAATCCCTGCAAAGGCTCCCCTCTTCCACAGTCTGCTTTTCCCCACAGGTGCTGTCCATATGGGAGGGAACAACAAATATCCTGTCCCTGGATGTGCTGCGGTCCCTCGCCAAGAGCCAAGGGCAGGTGATGGTTGTGTTCCTGTCCACAGTGCAGGTGAGCCCACACCTGCAGCCCTGCTCAGCCACCCACCTTTGGTTTTATGCTCCTGGCTGAGACTGACAGGAATGTGCCCAAATGGAAAGCTTTAGACAAGTATTCCAACAGTGTCTTACAATTTTGCTCCTTAAATATCTCTTACAAAAAGCAGTGCTCATCCTGGGATCCTTGTGTGCAGATACTTTCAGCTCAGCAGTGAGGAGCTGGCACTGTCAGAGTTCCTCATGACARCTACCAAAATAAGTATATTTTTAACGTGACTCACCTTCCTGAATCCAAAATAATTTTGTGGTTTTGTTTCTTAACTGGAAAATCACCACAGGACTGCTGAATATTGAACCTCGCTAGGGCTATCTACTGCATTATGACTTTCTATTTTTATTCCCTGAAAAGATGGAAAGAGCCAAAGGAATTCCATTGCTGCCTCTTTGGATTTACTGTTCTTTGGCTCTACTTTTAAAGCTGCTCAGGTGACAGAAGTTTGAAGCAGCTCAGAGTTTCATGRAGGTGAAGGTGCTTGGTGTGTCCCAAAAAGGGAGACAGGAACCAGCCCAAGAAGCAGGATTAGAGGGTGTTGTCTCAGAGATGACATTATTAATCCAGACACTGCAATTCAGGTTTTGTTAGCCGTGGTACAGCAAGGGAATCCTGGGGATCTGGAGTGCTGCATTTGATTGTGTGCAGCCTTGACTTTCCCATACAGACCCCATGAGGGTCTGGGACACTGCATTCTTGAAGCGCTGGGGACTGGACAGAGCTTTCCAGAGCTTGAGCAGTTCTCCCAGTGGCTGCAGTTGGGCTGCAGCTGKGCTGCAGTTCCCATTTCACCCCCCAACCCTGCTGTGCTCTGTACACAGCACCTCTCCAACCTTCAGGGATGAGGGTCTCTTTGCCATCCYCTCAGACAAGTTTTGAGAAAGACTAAATACCTCAAACAATTTGGCCACCAAACAAGAAGCCAAATCTCCTCAGGAGCACGACTGAGAGTACCTGCTGAGGGCAAATCCAGCTGTTGGCAAACAGCAGCTCAGGCTGACRCTGCAGGGGAAGTAAAGGAGCTGGAGTAGGCTCTAAAATAATTTGGAAAGAAGCAGCCTCCACTTCTGAACACTAAACAAACACCCCACAAAGGTATTGTGCTGCACCCTGGAGCACCTCCCTGGTGCACCTGGAAGGGCCCTTCCAGCTGCTTAACACCTGGATAATCAGGGAAGCATTAGGGAAYGCAGTGTGGTGGTGCAGAGCAGGGACCTGCAGAGCAGTAACACGAGCACAGAGATTTAATTAATGAGCTCCTCAGTGCTCCCATCAATCATGCTGTGGGTGAGGCTGGAGGGGGTTGAGCGCTGGCTCCAAGGTCTCCAAATTCCAGTAATGCCGCTGCCTTTACCGTCCATGTCACACTGAGGCTGCTGCATTTCCARGGAGAGTGGCTGGGTCGGGCTCAGAGCAGTCTGGATGCTCTGATTATGGATAGAACAGATCAGATCTGGCCAATTTAAGCTTCTCCTTTATGCCTCAGGCAGCCAGGTGCTGGAAAGGCAGCCTGGGAGGGGTTTGTGTCTGCAGAGTTCTGCAGGAACGTGCTGAGCTTCTGTACCACAATCAAGGTTTCACTCACAGGTGATAAACAACATCTTTCTGAGCTCCAGGTGTCCAAATTTTTTCAGTCTGTGAGTCTGGYTCATTTTGAAACATCCCTCCCAATSCTACCTAGTGAGGAAATAATTTAGCCCATCATAAAAGGGTTTTTACTGCTCCAACCCATTTCCTTTTTATTGATGCACACAAACCGAGTACAATTTATTTTATGTTTGTCCATCAAGGTTCTCAGTGTGCAGGACTTGTGCCCATTGTGAGAATGCTTTGCAGAAAGCAGCATTAGTACCTGGATAGCACTTGGCTCTGTGAAGGTCACATCAAGGGTAACTCCAGGTTTTGCTTTTATCCTGTATCTGTTGTCTCTGCTGCTGGTGGGATGCCCAGCACTGCTGAGGCTGTGATCAGGAGCTGGAGCCCAGAGTTGTAATTATTCTCATCAAAGGGGAAAAAGAGAGAAGTTCCCAATCCTTGCACAATGTAATTAAGAGAAGCTGAATTTTTAGGGTTTTTAATACACAGGTGAATTTGTGACAAACCACCTTGTCTAGAGGCCATGAGTCTGGAAGATCTGGGGAGAAGTGCAAGTGTGAGAGACAGGGATGGAATCATGGAATGGTTTGGGTGGGAAGGGACCTAAAAACTCATCTCATTCCATCCCCTCATCCTGTGGGCAGGGACATCTTCCACTGTCCCAGGCTGCTCCAAGCCCAAATGTCCAGCCTGGCCTTGGACACTGCCAGGGACAGCCACAGCTTCTCTGGGCACCCTGTGCCAGGGCTTCCCCACCCTCCCAGGGAACAATTCCTTCCCAATATCCCATCCATCCCTGCCCTCTGGCACTGGGAAGCCATTCCCTGTGTCCTGTCCCTCCATCCCTTGTCCCCAGTCCCTCTCCAGCTCTCCTGGAGCCCCTTTARGCCCTGCAAGGGGCTCTGAGCTCTCCCTGGAGCCTTCTCCTCTCCAGGTGAGCACCCCCAGCTCTCCCACCCTGGCTCCAGAGCAGAGGGGCTCCAGCCCTGGAGCAGCTCCGTGGCCTCCTCTGGACTCCTCCAGCAGCTCCAGGTTCTTCCTGTGCTGGGCCCCAGGGCAGCTCTGCAGGTGGGATCTCACCTGAGCAGGGCAGAGAATCCCCCCCTCCCCTGCTGCCCATGCTGGGGGCTCAGCCCAAGACACATCCTGGATTCCAGCTCTGCCGTGGTGAGAATTTCAGGTGGATACTGCACAGGACAAGTCACTTCATGTTGTACTAAAATTTTATTAGCTGGAATTTTGAGCCAGAGCCTTGGGTGTACTTTCAAATTCAATTACAGTCTGAAAAGTGCCTCTAAAATAGCCCTGGGCAGTTTGTTGATTATTGCATTTGAGTCACTTCAGGTGAAGTTTGGRCACATCCCAGCACAGGGTCTCAGCACCAGCCCTGTACGTGTTGTGCAAGGCTCAGAATCAACTCTTGCCTCAAGAATCTCTGTATAGGGCTGTAATTCAGGCTGTAACTCAGGCTGTAAATCAGCCCTGCAATCTCAGACACGTGAYAGTGTATTCAGGTCCTTTTCAAACCACAACCCCAATTCTCAGGCAGCAGGAAACAAATGGAGGTTATTGATGTGGGGCCGTGTGTTCGCTCCAAACATTGACATGAAATTGTGCTTTTAGCCCTGTCTGGGATGTTCCTCCTGTCACTGCATTTTCAGATACTCATGATTAATCTTCTCAGTAAAAACCACTCTCACCACATTGCTTTGGGGCCACTGAGAGCCAACAAATGAGCAGCATCTTAAAATTCCTTCATGAAAACAGAGGGAATCAGAGCTAYTGGAGCTCTGAAGCTCCTTTGCTGCTGATTTCAGGCAGTGAGGGATGGTGGGGCAGTGATGCTGTGTGTGTGCCTCGTCCCAGAGCTGGAGCAGAACAGCCAGGAGAGAGAACAGGAGCTGCTCCTGCCTCCAGCATTGCCCTGGAGCAGCTCCCAGCCTCTCCATTCTGAGTGCAGAGAGGATTTGGAAAAACCTTTCAGGAGATCCAGAACTTTTGGTTAGGAAAGGCATAAGTGCAGTTGGAGTTAAAAAAAAAAAAAGTGTAAATTATTGGTGAGCAAAGATAATACAAGATCTTCTTTATCCCTTAAAGATAAATGATGCTTTTACATTCCTGATCAATATTTCTGGGTGTTCAAACCTTCCAGCTGTGGCAACATGTCCATGTCCCAGCTATGGGCAGGAGATGCTGAAAGCCGTATGTGTTGTCTCCCTGCTTGGTTGGTGCCATGCAGGCTCCCGCTGAAACTGTGGGAATATGGGATCTTTGGGATCTGTGATCCTCATTAGCAGCAAGCTCCGAGCTGCTTTAAAACACCTCGTTAGTATTCCATGGGTTCGGAGGTTTACGGGCTTAATGTTGGCATTGAGTTGTTTTTGTGTTTGTCCAGCACATGCTGGGGATGTTTCTGCCCTGGAGCCCAGAACAGGAGCATTGGGAAGTGTGGAATTGTGGAAGTTTGGGGTCTGAGCAGTCGAAGGACACAGAACAAACCTGGGCTCAGCTCAGCCCAGAGGGATTTTCTGGTCCAGCAAGAGGAGCTGCGGGATCACCTCAGCACTGAAAGCTTCAGAAACATAAAAAATTCCTTCTGTGTAGCTGCTGCTCACAGGCTTCAGTCTCGTCTGCAGGTTATTGATGAAGCTAATTAATGAGCAGCACTTCCCACAGCCGCTGTGCTGCTCACATCCAGCCTTTGGGAATGCTCTCCGAGCTGATCCCTCAGTCCTGCTGCAGAGATGGGTTTGAGTGTGGCAAGATGGGAGCACAGCCCACGAGAAAGGACCACCCCAAACACAGGCAGTGCCCCCTCTGTCCTACAGGGAATAGCAAAGGAGACACAGATGAACGCCATGGGAATGCTGTGCCCTAGGAAAAATTCCAGACTCTGAGCAGAGCATCCTTTGTGCTTTCACGAGGGATTTGGAATGTGGCAGAACGACAGCTTGGCTCAGCCAGGRGAGCTTTCAGGCAGTGCTGTTGGCACCACTAAATGCCGATGCCCACCAGAATTACAGAATCCTTTAGGCTGGAAAAGCCCTCTGGGATCAAATCAACCATTTCCCCAGCACTGCCAAGGCYACCACTGACCCATGTCCCCAAGTGCCACYTCCACAGGGCTGTTAARTCCAGGRATGGGGACTGCCCTGGGCAGCTGTGCCAGGACCAGACCCTCCCTTTCAGTGAAGGAATTTTATCTATCCAACCTGAATCTCTTCCAGTGGAGCTTGAAGCCAATTCCTCTTGTCCTGGGGCCTTTCCCACTGACACAGCTTGCAGAGGAAAGTCCATTAAATGTGAAATTTCCTGCCTGGACATAGCTTGAATATACTTGTGGAAGTAATAATAWAACCCTGGGAGAATTAGACACTGATACAGGTATGGAGTCAGAGAGAATTGGGGGTGAGAGCTGGTCCCCACGGGCAGCTGGGAAGCCAGAATGGAAACAGCAATGTGCTGGCTCTGGTCATGGGAATTCTCCATCCCCAAGGCAAGACTGGGAGCTCCCTTTTGGGCACATCCCTTTCCCTGCTGCTGTGCCAATGGCAGCCACCTGGATCTGAGYTTGTTGTCAGCAGTTGGGTGTGCCCAGGGTCCTGTCAGCCCCTTCTTTGGCACAAGGCAAATACACTGCAATTTTTCCTATGTTTTTTTCTCCCTACAGAAAAAGCTGGAGCTGGCATCAAGCACTGAGGAACTGTCCCCGGCCGTGCAGAGGACACRGGAAGCCATCAGGAGCCTCAGACAGTTCATGGAGGCCGCGGGCTCAGAGCGGGCACTGACCATGGAGCTGGCAGCAAGGGACTTCTCCTACAGCCTGGCACGGATCTACACAGGCAGGGCAAAGACTGGGATCATTGAATCAGGGAATGGTTGGGTGGAAAGAGACTTTAAAGGCCATCCAATCCCACCCCTACCATGGCAGGGACACCTCCCACTGTCCCAGGCTGCTCCAAGCCCCAATGTCCAGCCTGGCCTTGGGCACTGCCAGGGATCCAGGGGCAGCCACAGCTGCTCTGGGCACCCTGTGCCAGGGCCTCCCCACCCTCCCAGGGAACAATTCCTTCCCAGTATCCCATCCATCCCTGCCCTCTGGCACTGGGAAGCCATTCCCTGTGTCCTGTCCCTCCATCCCTTGTCCCCAGTCCCTCTCCGGCTCTCCTGGAGCCCCTTTAGGCCCCCAAAGGGGCTCTGAGCTCTCCCTGGAGCCTTCTCTTTTCCAGGTGAGCACCCCCAGCTCTCCCAGCCTGACTCCATGGCAGAGGGGCTCTAGCACTGGCTTCCCCTGCACTGGCTCCAGCAGCTCCAGATCCTTCTTGTGCTGATGGATTTCAGACCAGGAAAGGGCTGGGATCAGCCGTACACACCTGGTTCACCGCTGGGTTGGGGGTGTAGCTTTACAGATCAGTGCCCACCATTCACACTGAGGAATCTCCAAGCACTGCTGAGCAGCCATCCCCGGTCTTTCCTGAGCCCTGGGCTGTTCCGGCAGGAGCCTGGGAATTCTGACACCTCCTCCTCCCCCGCAGGAGCTCTTYTAATGGAACACGCAGCTCGGCCTGACGCTTCCCCCACGGACGTCTGCGCTGCCCTGAGGTAGGCACAGCCCTGWCCCCTGGATGATTCCACGTGGAATATGGGAGGCTTTGCTCTGCCTCCGGAGTGATCCAACCCCCGGCCATGGCCAGACCCACCCTCCCACCTCAACCCCGGGGCTTTTCCCTGCTCAGGCGATCTCCGTTCCCCGTTGTCCGTTCCCGCAGCGACGGGCGGGATCCCCCCTGGGCGCGGCTCAGGTTGGCAGCAGCCCCGTGTGTGTGCAGGGCTGGCACAGACCGTCCCTCTCTCCATCCAGATGGTGCAACCAGGAGCTGTGTCCGGTGGCCGCGGAGTCAGCGAGGGGCAGCTACAGGGGCGGGGCAGCGCTCCAGGACAGCGCCCTGGTGTTCGGGCACAGCCGGCTCTGAGCCCCCGCAGCCCCAGCACGGACACGAGGTGGGTTGTGATCCAAAAATCCCCCAAATCCTCAGGAAGCTGCAAATTCCAGGTGTGGCAGAATGTCCCGTTCCACAAGGGACCAGACCGAACCCTTTAGGAGTGACCCTGCCTGCCCCGGGCTGAAATCCACGGCTTGGCGGTTTCCTGATGCAGACACAGACTGAGAGTCACTCCAAGTAGCTGCAGTGTTCTCCCTGGGCTTTAGGCAAAGCCCCAGCRATAAAATCCAGTCAATGACTGGAAGCAGCAGCACTTCAACTGCCGACAATGTTCTTTTTGAACAAAACCAACAAAAATCAAACAGAAAATTATCTGGAGCTGATTAAATACAGAAAACCAGTTTCCCCCTGTTTATTCCCTGCTTTCCAGTGCTGACCAAGGACTTCCACCCCTGGATGGGGTTTGCTCCAGGGGCAGCCCTTTCCRCCCACCGTGGCTGTGAACATTGACCTCCTCAGGAACTGCTGCTTTCTGAAGAAAAATGGGATTTTTACTCTCTCTGCCCTCCAGAAAGTTGATTAATTCCCTGTGCACGTGTCCTAATGATGCTGCAATCTATTCTGACATAAATCCTACAGAAGTTTTGGATTGAAATCCAGTAATTCTCCACCTAAGCACTGGCTGTGGGCTTCTCCTCCTCCTCAGCCCATCAGTCGACCTGCTTGGTATTGCCCTGCTGGCTACAAGTTTTTAATTAAGAAGTTGCTAATAGCTGAAGAAAGGCTCTAATAGACCAAAGACAGCTGGAATTTATAGCTGGGAAGTGCTCCAGCAGCCACTGCACTGAGTGGGAAGGGGCTGTTTGCTGGGCATGGAGTTGTGCAGAGTTTCAAAGCTGGCAGAGCCAGGAGGACAAAAGCACCAAGTGGTGGCTCCAGGGAGGAGCAGAGTGGGGCAATCCCAATAGGTCCTGGCATGGGGATCACAGGCTGAGCCAAGCAGAGCTTCCCCAAAATCACACAAATGCCAGGAACCAGCCCCAGCACCAAAGGGCTTCTGTTGTCTGTGCCTTGCAGGGTATAAAGAGAATTTGGGTTTGAACAATCTCCTACATCACAGAATCACAGGACCATGGAATGGGTTGGGATGGAAGGGATTTTAAGAATCATCCCATTCCCCCCCGAGCCATGGCAGGGACACCTCCCACTGTCCCAGGCTGCTCCCAGCCCCAATGTCCAGCCTGGCCTTGGRCACTGCCAGGGATCCAGGGGCAGCCACAGCTTCTCTGGGCACCCTGTGCCAGGGCCTCCCCACCCTCCCAGGGAACAATTCCTTCCCAATATCCCATCCATCCCTGCCCTCTGGCACTGGGAAGCCATTCCCTGTGTCCTGGCTTCAGCATTTTGTCCCTCAGTTTGGTGTCAGAGATGTCACAGGTGTCAATGCCYTGTAAAACTCAGCAGAAGGGGAAAGTGAGGGAACAGCTCGTAGCTCTAAGTGATGATGGCAGCAATGTCCACCCCCAGATGAGTCCATGGATCCCACAGCAGRAGATGGATATGGCCCAGGAGGGAAAGGCAGCTCTGGAAGTGTTTGCAGAGCTGATAAACCCCTGGGATGCCCTGCTCTCCCTAAGGGCTCATCTYCAATTGCTGCCAATCCAGGCTTTCCTTTTTCCCAGCCCATTTTACATTTCTGAACACCAGGACTATTTTTTCTTCATAAATGGGCTATAATTTGCCTAAAAATAAGMCCCTCAAACTGGAAGCTCTGCAGAWGCAGCAACACAKAGAACAAGGGATTATGAAATTGTCACCGAGTAGGAAAATGACAAATTTATTAAGATCTGAATCTTCATTCTGAGGCTACAGCACAATAAAGGCTGTTACACACACAAGGATCTGACACTTCCAGTGCTGCTGAACAGCTCTGCCCTCAGAGTTGTGCATGGTTTCAGACAGTCCATGTTCTTCAAGTAATTGAGACTTCAGACGTCATTTTAATACAAATCCTGCCCAAAAAGAGGACAACCAAACCCATCACCTGCTGCCACTGCAAGGTCTAAAAACCACTCTGTGACAGAGCTGTGGGAAATTGGTTTAAAACCCAGATTTGTTAAATAATAAAATCAAACTTCAGCAGCATTTAAAGAATGTCWAAGTCCAAAGAATGGTGAGCTGAAATCCTGAAATGCAACACCTGGAGCTCTGTCAGCTGCACTGTGGGATGGACAGCTTCAAGGACCATGGAACACCTGGGCCATCCTGCACCTGGCAGTGCTGACTCCAAACCTCGTCCTGGGTAATTCCAGGACCCCTCCATCTGTTCCTTGGGCCCTAAACCTGATCAGCTTCCTGCACGTGGCTACTGCCCTTTGCAGCCTCCCGACACCTCCAAACCTCTCCCAGGGTGGGCCCCCTCCCACCCCTACAGCCCTTCCCGAGCAGTGGAGCAGTTCCCAAACACCTCCCTGTCCTTCCTTCCCCACCAGAGCTGTTGGTTTCCCACCCTGCCCCTGCTACCACCGCACTCACCTGTGCCCAGCTCKGGGAACTGAGCCCTGCCAGGGTGAGATCGCTCCTGTCCGGTGACTCCGGTGCCACCTTCCCCCTTCCCTGGCAGGGACAGGCGGCCCTGTTACTGTTCCAGCCGGGGATGAGAGGATCCGTCAGTTCCCAGAGGTTCCTCACGCTGTTTGTGAGATACCCAAAGCCGCTCTGCCTCAGGAGGTTCCACAGCCCAGGGAGGGGTACTGAGGCCGCCCATCGCGACAGCAGCGCCGCTGACAGAGCCATGGGCTGTCCGGGAGCTGGGACAAAGGAAAGGGGGAAGGAGGCTCCTCAGGAAGAACCAATCATGGGGAAATGAACTTTGACACACGGGCAGCCGTGTCCTCCTCGGGCAGGAGCCCTTCTGCACCACGGGGAAGTTCAGAACTCCGATCCYTCCGCCAGGGGCAGAGATCCACACTCGGCATCTCCCAGATCAAAAAATATCCCGGCAGCGCCGTGTCCGGGGCTCCCAAGGTCTGCAGGGCAATGAGCTCCCGAGAAACCGCTCAGCAGAAACTCAGGCATGAGAGGAGCTCTAGGAAATCCCATCCCGGGGGTAACTGAAACCCTGCCTGTGTCCTTTACAGCACCAAATGGTCTCTGCTTCTTTTCCCCTCCAGATCCCACCAGCGGCTCTGCCCCAACCTGGTTTAATTTGATTTAATGAACACSAACAAATCATAGTGATTGTGCTCAAGGTCTCATGATTAGACAGGGCTGGTCCTTCATCACAGTTGCTCAGACCCCTGAGAATACAGGATACATCCTCAAATATCTAAGAGAAAATGTGATGGTGAGGGAGCTGAGGGGACAGGACTGTGCACAGCCAGAACGAGCAGGCAGTGCTCGGAACACGGGAATAATCCTTGTGCAGGACAATMATCAGCTGACTTTTCCACCTTCTAGGAAAAAGATCTTAAACCTGAGTTTGGTTTGTTCCCCCAGAGGCACAGATCCACCATCCAGATAAGGCAGGTGCAGGTGGGAATGGAGATCTGACCTCTCTGCCATGTGGGAGATGTGGAGCTTCCTCTGCCAAACCCTGCTGAAAGCAGAGGGAATTCCCTGGAGATCTGAGCTGGACTGGGTACCAGTCTGGTAACATCTGGGTAACATCGCTGGACTGAAATACAATGGTTGCTTAAGGGGAGAAAGAAAAACTCGGTATGGAGGGAGCTGAGACTTCGGCACCATTCTCCATCCTCGGAGAACCACGCTGATTGTTCCAAGAGAACCTGATAGGATGTGTGGGTTGTGCCTTTCCCCATTCCAGGGAGATTCCTGCACCCAAGAAAACCAAGCTTAAGATTTAAAATTTAATTTTAGGAGCAACAGTYGGTTGTTCCTTGGAAAGACACAGCATGGAACAGAAAGCCCAGGGCAGCAGCTGCAGCCTCCTTTTCCATGGCACCGCTGTTCCKGCTGAGCCTCCAAGATATCCCCTCCAAGGGACAGGGAAGAAAAATAAAAAAKTAGAAAGTGTGTTAGCAAATGCTCCCATGCAAAAGTCTAAACTTTATTCACTTTTATTTATATATTTAACAATTCTAAAGTATTTACTTCTCGCTTTTGACAAAAATGAAAAATATAGGAGCACTTTACTCTCTTGTGGAGAGAAGGGTTATTTCTGTACACAGCTACGGAGAGACGGCTTCCTCCTTTACATACAAAGAAAAATAATATTAATAAAAAAAGTGCTTCATCGATCCAAAAAAGCCTAAAGAGCTGCAAGCTTTTATTCACACTGTACATCCCAGCCCCGGCCCGGACCCTCTTGGCACGTGCGGAGGCTCCGGCCGATTCTGCACCACAAAGCCACAAGGCTGGGCTGTCCCCCCGGCCCGGCCCCGCCACCTCCCCGTCGCCACTCCCGGGAAGAGCCGGGCGCTCCCTCGGCCCTCTCGGTGCGGAACAGCGCCGCCTGTGCRTCCATTCCAGCCTCCACTGCTGGGGTAGGAACAGATCCTACCCACGCCTTGGCTGGAAAACCCATCCTTCTCTTSGCTTTTCCCTCACTCTGTCTCTAAGCCTGTGCCAGGGAGATCCCAAGATGCTCCGTCCGTCCCCAGACCCCTTTCCCGCAAGGACGCAGCCTCCTCCTTCCTGGACATTCGCTSCAGTGCACGGATCCTGGCAGGGTGGGAAGGGTGGGAAGCTCCAACACCTCAGCACTGCCCCTCAGACCGAGCTCTGCCAGACGCTTTCTCTGCGTGACCCTCCCTTTGGATGATGTGATTGTGACAYTCCAGGGAAGAGAAATGCTCCTTTCCCGAGGTTTCTTAGATTTTGAGMTGTTGTCTCTAGAACTCTCAAATACTCCAGCAGGATTCTTGGGAATACCACCGAGGATTTGGGATTTTGCCCAGGGAATGCACTGTGAGCAGGATCTACTCTTCCTCCTTGCCAGATTGCACAAAGCAAGATCTATGGGATGGGAATGGGATGAGCACCTACCAGTCGGTTAAAACGGATATTTGGGAGTTTCACCCTTCAATGAGGTGACCCTGATTGGGACAGGAGGAGGAAGGGGAATCCATGATGTGTTTTGGATTGTTCTAAGCTCCTCAGGCAGGTTTTTCCTATCTGGAGTACACTGAACACAGCCTGGGAAAGGAGGAACATCCCAGGGGGTGCCCAGCACCAGTGCACTCCACACGGGCCGAGCCCGGGGACAGCGGCGGGTCCCGGCCACCTTCTGTTGGTTTGGATCGTCCAGTAAAGTGCGAGTGACCGGCCAGGACCTGACCATGGCAATGCTCTGCTCCCACAGTGCCTCCCACAGGGAATCTCACACGGATGGGGCAAGGACAAGGCAAAGGTGTGCTCCTGTCCCAGTTGGATCAAATCAGGAATTGCACGGACAGACCCCTGGCGAGGCCCGGTGTGATGCCTGGCTCAGCTCTGACCAACAGCACGTATATGCCTGAGCCAGCACTGCAGCTGTGCCCCTGCAGGGCTCAAACCTCCAGGGCTGTGTGCGCAAGGGCAGAGCCACCAGCACGGGAACCTGACTGAGGAACCCTCGGGCAGCCAAGCCCGCTGTGAGAACAGAGGGARAGGGCTCTCTGGGGAAGGAGATTCCCACCTCTTCTAGCAGCAACGGGTTCCCAAACAGCAGTTTCGGGTTTGGAATAACAGGAGTGATTGAAAGCACTGGAGGCTGCAGCTATTCCRGCTCCCTCTGCTCCCTGCTCCCCCAAATGCTCGGCCTGCAGCAGTTCCACAGCGGGACAGATAAATACCCCGGGGATCCCGGCCGTGGCACCAGCTCCCTCCCCACCTCCACGGCCCTCCCGCAAACAAACATATATATATTATAATATATACACACACGCACGCGCGGGGACACGGACACACAGACAGGACAGGCAGGAAAGGGGGAAGAGCCGGACAAGGAGAATCCCACGATCCAGCGGCACATCCTCGAGCTCTGTCCCGCCGAGCAGCGCCCCCGGCTCCACGCGCAGCTCCCAGCCTCAGCCCCCGGCAATCCGCGTGTCCGTGGGCAAGGGTCGGCTCGGCTGCTCCCCCGCCGCTCCCAGGCCAGGAATTCAGTTGGACGTGGCAGTGATGGGCTTGTCCAGTTCGAGGTCCAGGCTGGAGC